TGGTGATTATCAACATTTTGGCGATTTTATGATCGGTTTCTATAGAAAATTTCTAATTCTGATATCTGGGAATTTTTTATGCTTTTTTAGAACTTTCTAACATTGATAAATTTTATTAAAGTAATGGTAATATACTGGAATTATATTTAAGAAATAACATTAAAATAAGGAATTTTTATTCTTCACTGTCATATTATAAAGTTCCATTTTGGCCACATATACAATTTTTTGAATCTGAAAAATAAGCAAGGAATAATGCTATAAAGCACAGTTTACGAAACAGTTTTTAGCAAAAAAAATAGCTATTTAAATTAAAATGTCTTTTAATTTCCATGGTAAGAATTTTTCTCATTTCTCAGAATGATCAGAATTCTCAGAATATGCATCAGTTTTCTCTATAAAATTAATTTCACACTTTTTTCCTCGATTTTTCTAAAACACTTTGGATTTTTGTGTTGCAGAATTGTAGGGTTAATTTCTTTAGGATTTTAGACATTAAGCTTGGAAGTTTTAGAAAGATTCAAGGCAAATTATAGACCACGATTCTAAAGATTCCAGAAAATGTGATAAAATGAAAAAGTCTCCATGGAGTAACACGCAGTTTCTTACATTTTGGGAACATCTGGAAGAACAATGAAAACATAATAGTTGAATGTTTACTTCTGATTCTAGATTGCTTTTTTAACATTTTGTCTTCCCTATTTTCTCTACTTTTCACGGATAACAAGCGTTGGAAATATCAAAAGTACTAATCATATCATAGGGGGGCATTAGAAAAAATTCTTTATTAATAAGATATTGAGAATTTAAATTTATCTTATTTCTTAATGCATCACATGGCTGGCACTAGGCATTTTACCATGATGCCGTCTCTGTGGATTCCTGGTGCCTTTCTAAATTCTGCTTCCAATGCCTGTTCTAAATTCCAAACGTTTACCATTAGACTTTATTGCTCAGTGGTCACTAAATTAAAAATTATGCCACACAGCACTGTGACCAGATCTTACCATATGTATTCATATTTTCTGAATTCGTATGACTAAAAAAATAAAATAGCAGCTTTTTCATACATTCTAAATGCATTTAGTTTTTTAGAATAACAGAAGTCTTTAATAAATCCCAAAAATTTAAAGTGAAAAGAAAGTGTGAAAAAGAAAAAAAATATTGTAAAGTGAAAGAAAATTATTCTTCAAAGATAGTAGAGTTCTTATGTAAATTACCGTTTACAGTTCAGCTTACTATAATTTCCATTTCTCTCAGATGCAAATCAATTAGACGTTTTTAAACTGAGTTTTTTGGAGTGTAAACGAATGTTTTGAACCCTGCTCCCTGCATGTTCCGTCAGCTTGATGATTTGTAATTATTGTCTTTCCATTATTGCTCTGCATTTGAGTTTGTTATGACAATAGAGTTACTGAACCAGATTAAATTGAAGTTAAAGTTGTAGATCTTTGTATACCACTAGTCAAATTTTTAGTTTGAATTTCCTCTTCTTGTTTAATTATATCACACAAACTGTATTTTATTTTGTTAGCATAAGAACATGCCTTATGTTCCAAGTCTTTTTGAATAAGCCTTTTAAACCCTTTATTAATTATTATTGATTATAGTTTACTTTAGACATGAGATAATTTGTCACGTCTGTCGGGGGGGGTCGGGACTATTTAACTTTCCCAGATCAATAACCCTCATAGGAGTCATTGTAAAGAGTTGGCAGTAGGAGATAAAACAAAAACCAAGAGAAAATTGTTTGCTATTGAGAAATTCTAATTGTTAGAAACATGTTAAGGAGAAAGAAATCGAATAAATAGCCCAAATGTCTGGGCAGCCTTCAAATTAAAGACGGCATAATTATTTTGTTGAGTTTTATGTTTTGTAGCTTAATGTGTAATTATCCTAATATGTTTAAAAATCATCATAAATTGCATGTATTTTAAACTATGAATTTTATGATTGTGATATTAATAGGGTTTTTTAACAAATATTATTAAAAAATAAATGTAATTTAATAGTGGCCACGTAAATCCATAATGACTAAGGTTATCTAAGACCTAATTTAATTATAACTAAATGTATAACTAAATGCATTCCCTTAAAAATGATCTCTCTATATTAAAGCAAGTTATTGCCTTTCATTAACACGCTGAGCCACTTTCGGTCCCTGGGGACCGGCACCAGAATTTTCGTTTGGCTGGCGTCGGTCCGCGGGACCGAAAGTCTTAAAGTTAAGAAATAAGTACAGTCTCAATGAAATGTGATCAAATGTAGTTTTAATGAAATTTATTGAAACATTACAAAAAATACGGCTTGCTTTACAACATACAATACCAACTTTTTAACATTTTGGGCTATCTTGCATCCAAACATTTTGAATTGTCATCATAACATTTTGAACATACTTTGGACTTTATGTGCGTCTCCTTCCTTTTGATATTTATGACTAATTAAGTTGGCAATATTGCACCACTTGATCGCTTGCTGCCGGTGAACGGAAAGGACAGCAAATTCGGCGCGGGCTCAACGTGTTAACCTACCGTGGTCAACCAAAAATATAAAAATCATGTGAAACTTATTCTTTGCATCTAATGAGACTTAATGCAAAAAACTTATAACCCTAATGCTTTAGGGCTTAAACCTAAAGTTATTAATAAGTTCAACCCCTGGAACTTACACGAAGCTACGAGGTAAAACAGCCGTCAGACAGAGGTCAGCTAACTTTCAAAACTTGCTTACTTGTGCCTACATCAGGCCTTTCAAGTTTGTTCTGATCAACAGGTTTCTCTATAGGCAAGCAGGAGTGGTGACAACAGCCAGTCTTTTGTTATCATACTGATTATGATTTTAATGCTCATTTTAACCTATGCTGCTTCACATAAAATCTACTTACTATTTACTAAACCTCTAGGCTGTGCAAGTATGTGACAAAATGAGACTAAAAAAAAAAAAAAAAAAAATTCTAACTGTTAATAAAATGTAACTAAAATGTCACTTATCTTCTTTCAAATCTGTCCAGTTATTATAAGTGTAAAATATTATGTACTGATAAATTTCATAAATTAATTTTTTTCAAATATTAATAAGTGTAATAAGATGTTTCTTAATAATGTAGCCTACTCACGTTCAGGCATAATATAATATGTTGCGTTTTCTCTTTCTGACACAGTTACGTGTTATTGAAAATTGTTATTTCTTCATACACGTTCGTACGGGGAATCGTAGTTTGGAGTGAATAAGACGACCTCGATGAGTATAGAAACCACTTTATGAGCAATATTAATCAGGAAGCTCCAAAGTCATTTTACAGTGCGAAATCTAATATAACACGCTGGAACATCGCGACACAGCTGTAAGGGGCAATAACGGTGGAGACAGCTTCCTGCAAAGCACCCAACTCTGTTTTCTGGAGTACAGCTCCCGACTCTGCTTGGTTGTTCTCGGAACTCCATCCATGTACTCTCGAGACTCTCCACGCTGCAACTCACGATGCATTCGGCGACACACAGAGCCACAGCTCCGGACTCTCTGTTCAGTCGTTTCCGAAGCTCAACACGCTCTCTCGACCATGCACTAACCGCGATACTCTACGAGACTGTCAACTAGATCGACTCCGCAGGGATTGATTCTCTAGACGAGACACACTCACTCTCGATGAGACACCTGACTGTGGACCAGCAGGGTTTATATAGCTTTTGACTGGTGTTCGAGAACATTATGCAAATCGGTAAGATTCGCTCCAGAAGGTTTCCATCCGTCCATGGTATATTGCAATTTCTCGCAAGGGCGATTCTGCGAATTGGCAGCCTAAAACTGCTTTGCGGGGAAGCCATCTTACGGCAGTTCATTCGTACAATATTTTAAATGAATTACGCAGTTCCATGCTAATAGGTCCTTAATTTTTTCATTAATGATCCTTAAAAGTACTTAATTTCCATGTGCAGAAATGTGTATGAACCCTGCTATTGTGTGAATTCTGCTAATTCTGAAAGAATACTTCTTTATGTATGCTTCTTGATTTTTATTCATGTACTAATGTAAATTTTTCTGTTACAGCTTATTCGTAATTCTAAAACACTATCCTGTTCTGTTTGCCTTGTAACTACTTCTGTTGAACATTTCCGTGCATTAGCATGTGGCCATTATTTTTGTAAAGAATGTTGGTCTGCTCACTTTGAAATACAAATTTTTCAAGGTATAACTACAAGTAAGTTGATATTACTTTTAATAATTTAAATATTTAATTACATCTGTTTTCTTTCCTTGAGTAAAACAATTTGTCATTTGGTTAACTTATGTTTCATTCTGCAGACATACATATGAAAAAAAAAAAAAGGTAGCATACGTGCATGCTATACGAGAGAAAGTATTTGTGACATGCCTTTGAAGGATTTTGTCCCAGCAAATTGCTTATCCTTTTTTATGCAAAACTCTATTTGTATTTGCTTTGTCTGAAAAACTGGAATAGAAATTTTTATTTTGCATAGTTAAAGTGTGGGTAAATTCTTCTCAAAGGCATAACTATGCGTTTAAAAATTTATTTTGGCTTATTTCCTTGGCACCAAGTGTAACTTAGAGATTGAACACCAGTGATGATCACAACTTAATTAAAAGAAACTAAGTTGCCAGAATAATATCAATGAATGTAAGGTTATTACCATCATTAACTGATAACAAAATCTTCAGTTTTGTCATACTGCCTTAGACTAAATTTCTTTTGCAAATTGAGCAGATTTTCTCCCATATTTTGACGTTTATTTTCAAAAACCTTAACAACTCTGTTGTTTTGCATGTTGTAGTTTCATATATCATATATATATTTAATATATAAATACATGAAGAAACTTAATAAGAGGCAAAAATAAAAAGCAAATATATTGAAATATATTGTAATTATATATATATATATATATATATATATATATACATATATAAGAAAAATAAAAAACAAAAATAAAAAAAAAATTTAAATGAAATATATATATATTATAGTGTAAAGACATAAAGTAAGAATTTAATGTAATTTTTCACAAAGTCCCAAAATTGAAATACTTAAGTAATAAATTTCAAATAATCCTATGAATGCAACAAACAATTTAAAAAATTTTAAAATCGAAACTCTTTAAACGAGCAATACCCCAATTAAAAAAAAATCAATGAAATATAAAGAAAAATGAACATAATAGAAAAACTATCAACTTCCCTTCGTCAGGAGGAGGAACATTGACATCAATTGAAATTTCTCTTCCACAAAAATCCTTGCTTTTCTGTATCTAGAATTAGCCGATGAACTATTTCAGTGTATTTTATTTATAATAGTTCACTAGAAAATTCTGGCCCCTTTCCCAAAGCAAGGAAAAAACGAAGTAAATTCTTAATTAGCACCTCGTACCTTAAATAAAGAGAATTCTATTTAAAAATTTGAAAACGTAGATAAATTTTTATAATGTGCCTACTTTGTTGTATTTTGTGATAAGCACATAAAATTATTCAGTTATTCATACTTAATTTGAAAATAATTTTTATATTTGCTTGTGGAAAATCAAAGAAATTAAAAGTTGAATTTCAGTGAGAATATCATATGCAATTTCTTCATAATTTATAATTACTCGGTTTTTGAATTGGGAACCTTTCACTTCCTGAATAATGGAGTAATTTTGTAATGTAGGTTTTATGCAGCTCTCCTAAAAAATGCAAATTAAATTTTATATGAATATGCTGCCCAAATGGGAAACTGTTTAGTGACTCTGACTGCCATTCCAAAAGGCCTGGGCTCGAATCCCGGAAAAGGCATGGATGTAAATTGTCTGTCCTTTCATGTGAAGTAACAGTGGCTGCATATGAGGTACCTACAATAATAAAATGACCACCCCATGTGGCCTTAGTAGTGGCATTAACCTAAAATGGCTAGTGCCAGCCATAAAACAAAGAAGAAAAGTTTTTAATGAATATTAAGGGATTTCTTAAAATCTTTTTAAATATACTTACAAAAGAGGAGTTATTAAATATACAGTACAAGGTCCTTGTCGGGACTTTGCCGATTCCGGATTTGGGATTTTTCCGGATATTAGGTCAACAGTTTAAATCTAATAAGATGGCACGTAGAAATTATAAAATTAAAAATATGAAATTGTGATTTATGAAATAATGAAGTATTTATGATCTAAAGGGTATCAAAATTTACAAAAAAAAAAAAAAAAAAGCTTAATTTTTATTTGTTTACCTTATTAAACATTTCTTTCAATGCAAGTTGTTTAAGTTGCTTCGTTTTTTGTGCTGATACATTCTGTTTAATTCTGTAGACAGACATAATCTCTTGTTTAGTTACATTATTGAAGTCCTGTAACTGGTATTCTGAGAATTCCAACTAACTTGTCAATCAACATTTTTTTGTTTTCAGTAACTTCTGTGTCACTTTCTTCACAATTGGAAATGGTATTTTCAGGATCTAGAACCTTACTACAGATTTCACCATTTATTAATTAATTGATGATTGAGAAGCATTTTCATCACAATGAAAAACTTCTTTTATATCATCTTCATTTATTACCGCTTCTCCACATTTCTTTACAAGATCCGTTAATTGGAAAATTTCACCGCTGTTTTGCGATATCTGAAAACCTCTAAAATTAGCGGCATCATCATCAAATTTAGTATCCTTCACTATATATATGTATTTGGCTATGCATCATGAGCTTGGCAACAAATGACAAGTTGTTCCGTTAAATTCTGTCTTGCGTCTATTGCGCACTGAGACAATTAAGCTTGAATGGTATTAGTATAGTTATTTATTATACTTATATCTAATTCTTGCATATGCTTAAGGCCTATCAGAGTTCTGAATAAATAAATTCCCACATATACTTAAGCCTTATTGAGTGCCAATGCTAGATATCTTACCGACTGATGCAGTTTCCGTGGGTCCTAAATTCTACGGCCATACAAATCCTGGTGCTGGTTCTAGGTTTACTATGTGAATAACAAATCAGTTTTTCTTAATTCAAATAGTCCTAACTGTAATCTTTCGGTCTATGAATATCATCAACAAAATCTATTTTTAGCATATGAAAAAAAAATTTTGATAAATTTTTCCGTGGCAACATTTTTTAGCGCATTTAACTTAAGTCTCTAATCATCGGCAAGCGTAATGTCAACATAAAAGGTTTCCATAATCCTTTATTATTAAATTACTAACATAAAAAAATTGTTTAGGCATAACTACATGAGTCATTACTCAAGTTCTCATGTTTTGATAAACATACGGTGATGAACGGAAAGTATAATAAATAATGATTCTGTCGAAGTATAATGAGGTTGTCGTCAATTAAACAATGTATCTACGAGGAATGTTTCGGTTTGAGATGTGTGCGAAGCAGATACGCAGCTAAGAAGCCAAATTACTGATCGTGCACATTTGTGCTAAAATAATTGTTTCTTCAATAACAAGGCATTTTATTTAGTGTCGAAGTGAAATTAAGAATCGGACTCTCCAGATGTTTTATTATGCGTGGAGGGAGGGGAATTATATGCGCATGCGTAAAGCCTATGAGAAAATGGTGGTGGTGGTTTTGAGGTCCGGATTTTAGATCATTCCGGATAATGGATGTCCGGATTTCGAACTTTGTACTGTATATACATAAGCCGTATTGTGAATGATACATGATAGTTTAGTTGTAATATAATTTTGCAGGTGTACTATAGATTCGGAACATTTTATGAAATTATTTGAATGCGTCCTAATTATCTATAATCCTCACTGAAAAGCTGCCAGATTGTTATTGGCAACTAATTTTTTGCCAAGCCGAGAAGCGTAACAGCCATTTTGAAAATGGTGGTGCTCTAAGAAATTTGTAAAAGAGCAATAAATCGTTAAAATAAAATAAAAAAAAATACTTACCTTTTCAAGATATTGTTATATCTTTTTTTCGTTGCTGTTCTCCCCACATACACAGCAATCCGTTTTTTCTTAAAAAAAAAAAAAAAAAAAAAAAAAAAAAAAAATCAGAATTGTGCACAAACTTTGAACATTAAATTTGATTGTTTAAAAGTACAACTTCATGAAATATGAATTTTTGCATTCTCTAACTATTGAACAAAACATATTTTTGAAAAATTTAACACTTTCTTTTTCATCATCTGGCAAGCTCGACAGTAATATCATAATACGTAACTAGGGGGGATGTACTCAATGCAAGAACAAACACTAATTGCAAAAATTACTATTGAATTTAAAGCTGCAAGTATATGTACTTCTGTTGCATATGCATGCGTACCTAAGTTGCTTCATAAATATATTTTTGCTTATTTTGGCATTGTAATTCATTGCCTCATGAATACTTTCCAGTGGCTGGTAATCAGAAAGAGCCTTTTTTTTAAATCAGTAGTGAATCAGTTGTAATTTGGAGAGGTGGATTATAAATTTGTTGACTCTGTTTTCAGTCTATTTAACACGTTGTTGGGCACTTCGCGTCAGTGCGTTATGGCGGGAGTGGGCGATTTTTTTTGAAAAATCCTCGTGAATTTTGTCATTACGTAAAATCACTATAAATTGAAAACTACTTTGAGATTTTTTATAAAACTGATTTTCTTGACTTGGAATGTATTCTTCATCGTTTATGAAAGATACGGCACTTTTTATATAAATGAATATAGAATATATAGTTAAAAATACAAAAAAAGGAAAAATTTGATTTTTATCAATATTTATTACCAAAAGTTTTCAATAAACAAATAACTTTATGAAGCAAATAATGAAGACTGATAATGTTTTATAGTGTGATAGCGCTCAAAACATTTACCTCTATGATAAGGTAAGCTGCAAAATTTACACATAAAACAAGGTTCACTTTGCACTTTTTGAGATGCACACACTCTATGTTATCTTTGCGCAAATTTTTTCTTTCTGGTTTCAACAATTTTTTCTAGAATGTGTTTTTGTATATCCATCGACAATCTTCCGGGTAGATCTTGTTTAAGTGCCCTTTTCCTGATAGTAGATGGTCCTGGCTCTTGATTGTTATCTTCGGTTCATACCGAATCAGTAACCCAATGCAAAGCTCCTTCATATAAAAGTTTCTTATATTTTACTTTGTTGCTTTTTGTTGAATTATATACAACAATGGAATCAAACAATGCACAATTTATCATGTACATTGTTATTCATTTTGTCCATTTCGTCGTCTTTCGCAGTGTTGAATAGTAAGACAAATACTGATCTGCACTGTTGACACCTTTTCATAAATTTGTTATAATCAAGTGATGCATTTGGTTTAGTTATTTTTTGGCGTGTTGTTCTGTCAATATTGTGACTCTTTCGTTTCGGCCGAATGAATAGACGAAATAAGGCCCACTTCTTTTTTTGATTGCCAGATTTGAAGTAAAATATCCCCTTTACGGCAAAAGATTGTCTGTCCTTTTCTGAGATTTGAAACCTCTATTTTTTCTGATGGTTCCACATATCCTATTTTTTTCCAAAAAGGGCTTGAGTGTTATCAACACTATTATAATAATTATCCATATGCAGATAGTGCCAGACAATTGTATATGGAGATACAACTGTCTGCATTGTGTCTATCAGCCGTGATCCCTGACTAGAATAAATTGCAAAATTACAGATGTATCCTGTATTGCTCTCGCATAACATTCTCACTAGTATGCCGTATTTTGTGAGTTTTCCCACATTATAAACTCTAAAAAATAATCATCCTCTCCAAGGTATAATGCCTTCATTCAAGGATACTTGCTGTTTAGGTTTGTATATGTTCACAAATTTCGGGACAAAATATTCAATTATGTGCCTGACTTTAGTCAGTCAGTCTGATTCATTGTTGATATTCTTGTTATTGTTGTAATGCCAAGCCTTTCGTATTTGCTGAAGTCTATCTCTAGGCATTGTTTTTGCAAAGAATGGTGTTTCTGTGCAAGGGTCTGTGGTCCAGTACTCGTCTCTTCCATCTTTTTGAACTTGCCCCATGAAAATAATTAGTCCACAAAACTTTTTCATTTCCGATATTATGATATCCTTCCATTTCACACTTTTATGAGGTATTTTGAAATTATTTATATTTTGGTAATAATACCTATTCAGTTCTTCTACAAAATGTGTGAACAAGTCATCTCCAATAAACAAGTTCAACTCATCGGTTATGGATTCGGGAACAGTATCCCAGGGCGATCAAAAAACTTTTCTAAGATTGGTGGATTATCAGTCGATGACCATTCTTCTTCATGTTCATCAGAACTTGATTCAGACTTGGATGGAATAGTTCGATAGATTAGTCTTCGAGGTCGTGGAATAATGTCTTCATCGTCACTCTCCTCCTTCCTCTGCCTATCGATATCACTATCACACGAATAATCTGAGAAATTGTCTGTACAAATTTCCTGGTCGCTTTTGTCATCACTGTATCTCATTTTATCAGTATTAGAGTATTTATATATAAGAAATAACTATACTACTTCCACAGGAAAAGCAATTATTGAAAGAGTTCAATAACAAATTTGACTCAAGATAATTATAAAAAACACAAAATATCACTAAAAAACTCGCTATTTTTGAAAATAATACAGGTTTGAAAATAATTAGGAGCTCCAGCATCGGAAATTCTATTTGACATAATCGAAAGTTCAAGCTTACTTTTATTAAATTGCTCTTACAGTCTGCAAAAATAATAAGCCGGATCCAATTCGAAGATTAAGGAACAACGCAATCATCAACATTAACTGAAATAGATAATTAGATAATTTTAGCTTATACCGTCCGTTATACATTAAACGCGCACGTGAAAACGTATTCTGCGCTTGCGCAGATGCATATGCGCAGTCGTAAATGTCTTGCGCGCACGCGTAAAACGTCTATGAGCATGCGTCAACGCGGCGCATGCGCAGAAAGATTTTAGCTTTGAGGTCCGGATTATAGATCATTCCGGATCATGGGTGTCCGAATTAACGACTTTTGACTGTATAAAGTTATGCTTAGCTTTTGTTTGGCTAGAGAAGGAAGGAGCTACAGGGTGTTTTGTTACTGGATGTGTGAAAAATGGAATAATTGGTCTTATTTTTGCCTTTGAAAATCATAGTTGATAGATTTTTTTTCCTCCCAGATGGAAGGACTGGGAGAGAGTTCGTTTTGGGCTGCAATTAAAACTATCTTTTTGTGCAAGAGGATCTTTTTGTTTTCAGAAGAAAACTGGTTTTGAATCATTCGTTTGGGTGTTTGGTGTTAAGAGGATAGGCTTTGTGACAGGAGTTGCATTTCAGGTTTTTTGGGGAGGGGGATGAAAATAAAAAGAAGTAGAGTAAATTCATTCTGCATTGATCAGAGCTTAATTTTATGTTAATTTCAACTTGTAGTATTTAAGTGGGTATGGAATTTCTTTGAGGTTTGTGCGAGATTAGAATTCAGATCTGCTTGAAATTTCAATGAGGAAAACAGAAGTCAGCTTGCCTGTGCCGTGGAGTTCTGTGTAAAGCTGTGTTGATTTCTCTAGCAGATGTGAGATAAAAGAAAATTTTAATGGAAGATGGATCAGATGACTGAAATGTTTAGATCTTGATGAAGGAGATACACATGACTAATAAATCCAGTGAGAGGAAAAGTGAAAAGTTCATAAATATTTTAACAATTTTCATAATGAAAACAGGTGCATTCAACTCCTGAGATAACAATTTAGAATATCCGCTTTTGGGCTCCGAATGATGTAGATATTGATCATGACATTGATACCTGTTAGAACATCAGCTTCCTGTTCCAGCTGGGGGGACGATTATTCTTGTCGATGATTCATGTTTAGGAAATGTTGCCAAGAGTCTCTTCTGAACTAGTATTTAGCATAATGGATAGGATGGCTTCCTTCTCGAACACTACGAGCTAGTAAGGACAGGGTTTAGGGTAGGGTCCTTATGTAAATGTTCAATGTGAATTTAGTATGACATAATGTTATTATCCTTTAAGATAATACTGTAGGGATAGTCTGGCCAGCTATTTTAACTAGAAATAATTGTTTTTGTTTAATCTTGTATGTATTATTATTAATTTGTGGGTCTATTTTATCTTTCCAGTAGTTTGAACTTATGACAGCCTGGAGATGATTACCTGGGCTAATTTATAAAATACAACACAATAGTAATAAGAAATTTTGATCATATGAGTTGCTGAGGAAATCGTAAAACAGTTATTGTATTTATTGATACATTTTTTGTGTGAACTGGTGATTTGTCCAAAAGTGGTAAATTATTTCATGTGTGGGTATTTCTTCTCTGCTGTTTTGAGGATTTTTTTTATTTGCATTTCATTCAAATGTGTGTAGTCTTCTTTAATGTATATTTGGTGTTTAATTTCTTTCTGTTTTTTAAAACTGTTAATAATTTTTCAGATATGGAATGCATGGGTCAAAACTGTAATCTTTTGGTTCCAGAAGATTTTGTTTTGAATATATTAAATAAAACTTCCCTCACAGAAAAATATCAAAAGTTTGCATTTGCAGATTATGTTAAAGTAAGTTTTAATTGCTTCTCACAGTGTTTCTTTCTCAATTAAATGAGTACTGGTAATTAAACTTTACTTAATAATTGTATTTTTCATTACAGAGCCATCCCAATCTGCGATTTTGCCCTGGTCCTAATTGTAATATAATTATTTATGCCAAAGAATGCCAGAGTAAACGAGTGATATGTAAAAACTGCAAGACATCTTTCTGGTAATGCTTTCTTCCCTCATGTTCCTTAATTTTTGTATTTCTGTAATTTTCCCCATTTCTATTTATAAATATTATTGAAAAAAAAAATATTTTAAATTTATGCCTAGAAATGTAATCATTAGCCACGCATAAAGTAGGTAGATATTTTTCTGTTAAGGCATACACAAGCACATAAACTTTTGTGGAGGATCCAAAAAACATTCCACCATATTATATTGGTGCTTCCTTAAAGAGGTACTTAGAGTTTATACAGCTTGCATCATAAATTCATGCAAATTAAAAAAATTCTTAATAAAAGAAGTAATTAAGACACAATAACACACCGAACAAATACTAATTCACAAGTCAAGCAACAAAAATCAGCATTATGTTTTCAAATTTTCACAGAAAAAACCATCGAAACTAGCTGCAAAAGCGCAAATGAATGAGATAGGATATAATGATAAGATAAGAAAGCCTGGACAGAAAATAAACTATTGGCGCCATCTAATGATATAACTAGAATTAAAATATAATTTCTTTAAGGGATGAAAGCAAAGATTGATTGGAATTAGGATCATTAACTAGAACCGAAAGATTTTTTTTTGAATGTGAAATGCTTCTAAAAAATCAAGTTCTCCAATGGAAGATGTTTTTTGAATAATTTTGGCAGCAGAAAAATTTAAAGTGTGATTTTCGGACCAACAATGCTGGGCAACAGAAGACTTTTGTGTTTCCTTTTTTCTAACACATGCCTCATGTTCCTTGATGCAAAATTTTAAGGCTCTCTTAGTTTGGCAATGTAAATTAAACCACACTGGCAAGGAATCCTATAAATACCCCAGGATTTTATATCCGGAGTGGGGTCTTTGAGTATGGAACTCGGAATTTTATTGATGGGAGAATAAACAACCCGAAAGTTAAATTTTTGCAAAATATGTGCAACTTTATAGCTAATTGATGGAAAGAAGGGAATGACAGCAGAATTTTTATATTCTCCTAAAACAAGAGTGTGCCTTTTATTGTGTTGAGATGAGTGTTGAGATTTCTAGATTTTCAACTCTATTAGACAATAACATTTACACCATAAAAATTTCAATAGAGTTTGTAAAAAAGGTTAAAAGCATTTTTCCTAGAAATTTACTCATGGTTTCTTTTGATGTAAAATCATTATTCACCAGTGTTCCAGTGCATTAAGATGTCTAGAAACCAGACTTCACGAATTTCATTTCTCTTGCATCCAAATTGATGAGCTAATTTCTATCACTCAACTTTGTTTGAAACAAACACATTTTGTTTTCCAAAATAAATATTACAATCAAACTGAGGGATTAGCCATAGGAAGCCCCCTCAGTCCCATCCTGACTGATATCTGCATGCATTATTATGAATCAAAATTGTTTGAAACTTTAAACTTCTCGGTATGGTTCCGCTATGTAGACGATACTTTTACCCTGTTTGAAGGTAATAAAGATGATTTAAATAAAGTTCTTTCAACAATGAATTCTATTGCTATTCAGATCCCTTTTGAACTTGAGACTTGCAATTCTCTTCTATTTCTCGACATTCTGGTCACACGTAACACATCCAACTTCAGTACTACAGTTTACCATAAAACTTCATTGGTTGGCCTTCCACCACACTTTAAAATCATGTCATCCAACTAAGCAAAAGTTAGCTTCATTTTATTCCTATGTTTTCCATGCTCTTCAAGTTTGCTCCTCCAAACTATCCCTTGAAAAACTATATTATTTAAAAGCAATAGCTGTTGACAGGGGCTTTTCACCCAACATTAATCAAGCAGTTAAAAAATTCTCATCTCAACACACTAAAAGGCGCACTCTCGTTTTAGGAGATTATAAAAATTCTGTTGTCATTCCCTTCTTTCCATCAATTAGCTATAAAGTTGCACATATTTTACAGAAATTAACTTTCAGGTCGTTTATTCTCCCATCAAAAAAATTCCGAGTTCCATACTCAAGGACCCCATTCCGGATATGAATTCCTGGGGGTATTTATAGGATTCCTTGCCAGTGTGGCTTAATTTACTTTGGCCAAACTAAGAGAGCCTTAAAATTTCGCATCAAGGAACATGAAGCATATGTTAGAAAAAAGGAAACACAGAAGTCTTCTGTTGCCCAACATTGTTGGTCTTAAAATCACACTTTAAATTTTTCTGCTGCCAAAATTATTCAAAAAATATCTTCCATTGGAGAACTGGATTTTCTAGAGGCTTCACATTCAAAAAAATCTTTCTGTTCTAGTTAACGATCCTAATTCCAATCCATCTATGCCTTCGGCCTTTAAAGAAATTATGTTTTAGTTCTGGTTTCATCAACAGATGGTGCCACTAGATTATTTTCTGTCCAGGCTTTCTTATCTTATCATTATATCCTATCTCGTTCATTTGCAGCCATCGAAGCTAGTCTTGTGAAAATTTGAAAATATATTCTGATTTTTGTTGTTTGACTTCTGAATTAGTAAAAGAAGTAATGCTTGGAAAAAATTTTGGTTTGCATGAATATGATCAGATGGACATAATTTTTTTGCCCGTGTGTGTTTTAGAACTTTGTATGCTTATAGAAAATGTTACGTTTTGCAAAATGCAAACTTGTATATATCATTTTAAAGAGAATTTATTACTGAATTCAATACAAAACACAAAATTCAATTATTTGCAATACAAAAAAAAAGTTATATGTGTTTTAATATAAATAAAAAACACAGTTATGAAGTAGTTTGTAATGTCTAGCTTTCCTGGCCATTCACTGTTCTTGTTCTGAAAACCAATGAAATGTTAGTAACTGCCAGTAGAAACTGACATCATGTTTACACTTGAAACACTTCATTATTTTGCTTTGTTCTGTAGAAGGAGGACCTGTTTCTTATACACTGCAATTACAAGTAGAAATTTTTGTAAAAATTTTTATATTTAGTCAAGAAGCAATGACATCAAATAAAGGAGTAGATTGGACACCTAGAAAGAGATGTAATATTACAAGAAAGTGGTCTTTCCTATGCTGAAATTGCAAGACAGGTGGGTGGTTCAGTGACTACATCTGGAGTCCGAAAGTTTTGTTTATGATATCAGGAGACAAATTCAATAAAAAACATAGAAGGAAAAGTCTGAAAAAGGTGCGCCACATCTATTGATGACAGAAGAATAAAAAGTCTATGTCTCCAAGATAGAAAAATGTCATCAGCAGCCATCAGAAGTGATCTGAATGATGCTGGTGTTTCTGTCAATTCAAGAACAATCAGGAGAAGATTAACAGATGTTGGACTGAGAGGTAGAATTCCACGAAAAAAGCCTTATCTTAATTTTCAGCAACGAAAAAAAAGACTACAGTGGGCAAAGGAACACATTAATTGGACAGATGATCAGTGGTCACAAGTTATATGGAGTGATGATATCGTTATTCCGTAGTGATGGGTGAAAATATGTAAGACGTAGAATAGGAGAAGAGCTACATCCTTGACTGCATTCAAGCAACTGTGAAGAACCCAGTTAGTGTTATGATTTGGTCATGCATGTCAGCAGATGGTATTGGTTGTCTTCATGTCATAGATGGGACACTGAATGCCAGAAAATACATTGACACTATTCTAGAACCAAAACTTCTACCTTCCATCAGAGATCTCTTTTCCAACAATGCTTCGTTTATTTTTCAGCAGTATTCTGCTCCTTGCCACACGACCAAAATATCGAAAGAATGGTTTCGTACAAAGAGCATTAAATTGTTATTGTGGCCAGGAAACAGTCCTGACCTCAGTCCTATCAAAAATTTGTGGCTCGGTTTTGAAAACTCTTGTCCAAATGATGTGCCCATCAAATAAAAGGGAACTAATTGAGGCTATAATTGTTTCCTGGCATCATGTAATACGAAAGAAGAGCTTAAAACTCTTGTCAGCTCAATGAAACGTCAATATGAAGCTGTAATAAAAAATAAAGGGTACCCTACTAAGTATTGATAACTCACTGCAATCATCACTATCTAATGTATATCGATAACTATTATCGTTTAACTTTTTTTGTATTGCAAATAATTGAATTTTGTGTTTTGCATTGAATTCAGTAATAAATTCTCTTTAAAATGATGTATACAAGTTTGCATTTTGTGAAACGTAATGTTTTCTATAAGCATACAAAGTTCAAAAACATAAAAATTTCCAAAAGTGTCCACAATTTTGGCCACCACTGTATATATATATATAGAGAGAGAGAGAGAGGATTCCAAAAGTAACCAAAAGGTAACTCACACATCATACTGAAACGTTTTCTGCAAATCAGGCCAACAGTAAAACACTTGTATAGAAATCGATTGATCACTCTGTGCCGGCAGCATGCTATCTTTAACAGACAGCACTGGTGGTTAAACTTTTATACAAGAATTGTGAATGCACAAGTATTGCATTGCAAACGTTTTGCATAGAAAAAGGATTTAAGACATTAAAAAGCTCCATTTTATTTAATGTGATACTGAATTTAGTATGACGTTTGAGGAAATGGGAAGTTTGGAAGTTTGAGGAAACAGGGAGTCCACGAAATGGCAGGCCATCCTCGAGTGTGGATCGCATCCATGTTGTAGAAAATGTCTTAAAAGAAATGACTTTCGAGATATCAACGGTATGTAGTAGTGCATCTGAAATTGGGAGATTAATGGGAATTCTGGAACCATTGATTCAGTGTATTCTGTATAGAATCTTGAATCTGTACAAAATACAGGCACTTCACCATTTAATTTAATTGCAGACATAGATGAAAGACAAAACTTTGCTATGTGGGCACTGGCACAAATGGAACAAGGTTGATAAATGTTAATTTGGATGGATGAAGCTCACTTTTCACAGCATGGTGATATCAGTATGCAAAACAATCACATCTGTGTGGTGGCAAACCCTCATTTTGACTAGCTGACAAAGCCGCTGCATTTTCTTCATGTGACTGCCATGGTTTCACCACGTCTTTCATTCTGGGCCTTTTCTTTTTTAAACATTAACCTGTATCTCACTGGAAAAACCTGTACACTTATTACAGAATGGTATGTTATGCTATTGTGTGACTATGTCGCGCGTGCATTGCAGAAAAGACAGGTTACCTGTCGTCACCTTTATACAAAATGGTGCCCCAGCCCATGCTGTATGTGAAATCAAGAATTTCCTGTTGGAAACCTTCACTGAAGACCAAATCATAGTTCAGGTTATAAGTTAAAGGGGCTGCCATGATCACCAGACTTGACTGTGGCAGATTTTTGTTTGTAGGGATACTTAAAGTCGTGTGACTGGGGCTCCCCACTCACTTGGTGCAAATGAAGGATATAATTTGACAGACCGTCGATGGCATCAGTGCTAACATGCTATACTGAGTTGTAAGTAGTCGTAGGGACTTGCTTCATTTGCCTAATATCTTATGCTTGTGGTCATGTTGAATATCTTGTATTCTCTACATATAATAAAACAAAGAGTCTGTGTGTGTGTGTCTGTGTCTTTCGTTTGCGCTGCGTATAAGCTAATAGACCCACGGCTACGAAATTTGCTACATAGGTGCATCTAGACAAGAGCCAGTGCACCTCGAAGCGATTTTTTTCGAAATTCGAATTAGAATTTTTTAAATTTTATGTTTTGTGATGAAATCACGTCATTTTGAGACATAATGGGCTATAGGAAAGCGAGATTTTACTCTACGCACTCCATTTCACATCGTTGTGAAACGTAGGCACTTACCTATTTTACAAACTTAAAATAAATTTCGTGTTTCAATAAATCGATTAAATATGAATTTATTTAACAAAGTGAGCTTAACACCTTTTCAACAGGATTTTTTCTAAAAAAGTTTGTTTTTAAAAATGTACAGTTTATTTTTCTTTGATTTTTGGACACATTAAACTTTCATCCTTGCGACTGCCTTTACAAAAAGAATTTTGGAAAAATGATAATATTTTGTATTTTTAAGAAATTTTTTAAATGAAGCTTCCGAGTACACTTTCTCACATCTCACATCTTTAAGAATGTGATTTTGGCAACAATTTTTCTTTCTTATTGTTGTTGATAGATTTTTGATGAAATTGCATCATTTTGAATAGTTTCATTCTTTTAGAAATATGGGTTTGGCAACAATTTTTCATCGTATTTCTTATGTCACTGTTTTTAAGAGATTGGCATATTTCATTGTCATTTTTTTATATATGTAATACATTTATTTTTTATTTTATTTTATTTATTTATTTATTTTTTTGATAAAGTTCTGCAGAGCGGAATTTTTTGTTTTTTGAGGTTCTTTCATGTTATTTTTTGCTAATTTCATTATTTGTAAGGATTTTTTTTTCTTCAACGGAAAGTTAGTTAATTTTTTTATTAGGATATATTTGCATTAAGGAATATACCTTATTTCATTGTAATTTTTTTCTCTTGAAAATATATCATTAATTATACTTTGCTTTTCAGAATTTTTTGTTTTTGTATTCTTTTATGTTATTTATTGCTCATTTCACTGTTTTTAAGATATTGAAAAGTTTTGAGTAATTTTTTTTTTTAGGAAACAAAATTCTTAACCTCCTTTATACCATTTGAGTTCTTAAGATTTTGCAAAGGGAAGTTGGTTAATTTATTTATTAGGATAATTAATATTTGTATTAAGGGATATTGCTTATTTTATTGTAATTTTGTTATACTAATAACTTTTTTTATGAAGTTGTTCTGTAGAGTAAAATTCTACGCAAATTTTAAATTTAACGCTTGGTGTTTCCTTCAACCATTTTTTACAGTAGATTTAAAAGCCAGACGAAGGCTGGCAGCAAAGCTGCTAGTTTAAAATAAATGCATAATGCCATGTTATTGTGATCTGTTTCATTGTCTGATTTGCATAAAATGTCTCAGTATGACATGCGAGTGTCCTTTTTTGGTGACTTTTGTAATAATATATATATGTATGTCCCCTGCTTATGTCAAAGATTACAGGACATTATCCAGGAGATGCAAAATGGATTTTTGGCCATAAGATCAACTCTTTAGTACTTCTCCCCCCTTAAAAATATTCTACTATTTTTAAAATACTGATGATGAGATTTCAATTTTGCATATAGGGAATTACTTCAAAACAATTGTTGTCGATATAATCACAGTATTTTCTATGCAAATGGTATATTTCATGTTTTAAACTTGAAGCATGTATAGCTCCCTCCATATTCATATTAGCCAGTACTGACTAGTGGATTCAGTGAGCTACTCATGTATAAATAAGGATGCAGTTGGTCATTTGTACAGGTTTAGAGGGTGTCTAGTTGCAGGGCAGTTGAGTAAAATATTGCAAATAAGGTTTGTATCTATTATTGGTGTCAGTGATTTTATTATGCTGAATATTTTATATTGTGTGTCTTTTGCTATAATATCTAAATAAACATTTATTTATGGTCCAACAGAACCTCTGAAGTTATTTATCTCAGATCAGAAATAAAACCTTGCTGTCCTAAAAATGCAGCTAGTTATGTTGTTGTTATTATTATTTTATTTATTTATTTATTTATTGGTAAATTGCAATCACCTGATAAAATTTTTGTTACAGCTTCAAGTGTGGGACAGATTATCATGCGCCAACAGACTGTGAAACAATTAAGAAATGGCTAACAAAATGTGCAGATGATTCGGAAACTGCAAATTATATTTCTGCACATACAAAAGATGTAAGGTTTCTTTGCATTCTTTATTTTTAAAAGGTGTTTTCCTGTGCCAAAATTTTATCAATATTGAAATTCTTGTGTTTAAATTTCAAGCTTCTAAGAGTTAAAATATTGTGTGATTTCCACATTGTCTTGTTTTTCAAGAGATTCAGTTTACACATTTTTGTAAGTAAATTTCTGTTGCATATATGTGCTCTTTTGTAAAACATTTAAAGCATCAACCAAGCCTTATTTTTGTTTGCAAGTTTATCTCTTGGGATTCAGTTCAGTGAGTTAATGCATCTGAGTTAAACATTCCATGGTAATAATATTTGATGATTCCAACACTCTATGACCATGATACATATGTATCTCAAAAGTAAGGGGAGGGGAACATGGGTAAACAAAGAAAGGAAAATGTGAGTTGAGGCAGATAGAATTAAAACCCAGGTAAAAATTTCACCTTTCTTGGCTGAATCTCTACTTTTGTAGCTGTTGTAAAACTTTGGTCAAAAACAAATAAGAAACCCACAAATTCAAGTCGTCGAATTTCCATCTCCATGGTAACGCAAGAATATTTTTTGCAGTGCTTTGCTGAATAGGTAATCTCATAAAGCATGTAAGCATACATTGCAGCACAAATACATAAATTTTAAATAGTGGCAGACAGCTGTGTAATTCTTATGTTTTATCACAAACAAAAATGCAACAGAATCTAAAGGAGGATTGGTTCCTGCTAGCTGAGCTTCACTAGCTGAGAGCTTGAGGCCACTGAATACAGGTAGTTTGAACCCAAGTAAATGGATTGGCTGTATGGTTGGTTTTCATGGTTTTCCTCATGTGTAATGTAAATATAAGCCAGTTTCTGTAGAAACTTCTCCACAAAGACATTCCTTCCTTTAGTGTGGGGTTTCTTAAACTTTTTTCAGTCGCGACCCCTTTCTATCATGGAGATTTTTTCGCGACTCCCAGGACCCCATAATATTTACAAAAATTTTATGGGGCCCCGATAAGTATTGCGCAAGTCTGACACACACGTGAGTGAAACTCTCAAATTTTTTCACTTGTACTGTAATATACTATTTCAGGTCATTAACTTTAATTTCTAGTTTTAAGACAGAGCAGTGTGAAAATTTTAAATAAGTAACAAACAAAATGACAGCGTCACGTGCAAAGCAAGGAAAATGAACATTTATATTATAAAAAGAATGCGTCGAAACGTTTTCATTTTTTTCGTTGTCTGTATTGTCTTATCTTTATCTATTTTCAGATACATTGTGTAAAAATATTTGGTAATTGTAAAATTATTATAATTAAAGAAATATCAAAACTGAGACTCCCCCTGCTGCAGATCATGACTCACAGTTTAAGAAACTCTGCTTTAGAGTGTTAGCCCTCGTGAGGTTTGCCATATTCAAATAACTTATCTGAGTTCAAGCAGGATTACACCGATGAAAGTTTGCATGAGACTTGGAAAAATCTTACTATGAAATGTTGAACAACTCATTGCTATGCTGTTTTGTTTTCAAACAGTGTATTTGTATGAAAGTGAGAGCATTGAAGATAAATAGTGTATAAAATGTGTTTCAACTTCAAGAAGCAAGAGCGATATGGCCATTTCAAGTACTGAGAGGTAATCAAATGTTTAAGAAAAAGTAATTGTTCACTGCTGTTTTAAAATTACAAGCACATTGTTCTGAAGGTAATGTAATGCTGATTGCCATACCAAAGAGCCCAGGTTCAAATTTGTGATAAGGCAGGGATAAGGGGGTGATCAAAAAATACATGGCAGGCTGAAATCTTATTGAAGAGTTTGTTTTAGGGAAAGATGGAGGGAGACCCCTCAGGGGTATTCTTCCTTGGAATCTGACTGGGTTGGAGACTTGCAAGGCCCGGCAATACCTGATGTTCCTAGATGGATGCACGGGTGCCAGACTTTCTTCAACCTGACCTGCACTAAGGCAATGAGTAGTTCTTTTATAGACTGGCTGTTGTTCTTTTTATGTTGATAATGACCTTCCTCTTTTTCATTTAGTGGTTTTTAGGAGAAATGACTGTAATATGTTTTGAAAAAAAAAAGATATTAAGTTGATGAGAGTGGTAATGGAATTTTCAAAACTGCAGGGGGGTGGGAAAAGCATCAATTGATAATTTTTAACTTTTTAAACTTCAATTTAAAATTAATGTAAAATCACTACTAACACAAACAAAATTACTTAACCAGTTAAACTGTAATTGACGAGTATACTCGTCATCCGTATAATGAAATGGAAAGATAAGTGAGGTTTATTTAGTAGGTACTGTACATAATGACAACATAACAGAAACAGAGAAAAGAGAAATAATAACAAAGAAACCGGAGCTAGTGATTGATTATAATAAAAAAATGGGTGGAGTGTATATGAGCGATGGAATTATCATAGCGTACTCCACAGAAAAAAAAAAAAAAAAGACTTAAAAAGTACTACAAAAAGATATTTCTCCAAATGGGTGGATATTAAAAAAAAAAAAAAAAGGGTGGAGTGGATATGAGCGATGGAATTATCATAGCATACTCCACAGCAAAAAAAAGGACTCAGAAAGTACTACAAAAAGATTTCTCCATTTTAGACATTATGTGTCTGAATGCATTCATATTATATAAAAAGAATAATGGAACATTATCGCATATCAACTTTTTGCTCAAATTTATTGAAGACACTTTTGCGACGTATCCAATTGAAAGAAATAAATCGACACAAACTTGGCCATTTAGACCTAATATAAGCCAATTAGGCAGGAATCGTGTTCCGGATTATATACTCAGTTCCGAATTATATACTCAGAGCATCGGAAAAACCAACCCTATGCGAAGGTGTTCGCATTGCTACAAATGTAAGATCAGGAAGGAATCGCGTTACTGGTGTTCGATTTGCAAAATCCCATTGTGTATTATACCGTCTTTTTCTGAAAATAAGACATCCTCCAAAAATAAGCCCTATCGTGATTTTCGGAACTTTTTGTAAAATAAGACATCTGCCGAAAATAATCCCTAGTTAAAATAATGTGACAAAAAGAATTCGTTAAAAAATGCTGCTGATTTATTAAGTATAGGTAAAATATGTTTAGCTTTCCTAATACTCGTATTTCAGAGAAATGTTTGAAACAAAATATTCCGAGAAATTAATTGTTTACCTCTACAGTTCGTTTAAAATTAATTCTTGGAATTTATTTTAACCAGTTCACCGTTTGCCCCGAGAGAGGTACGTTCACAGGAAAGGCATCGTCATCCGTTAGCGTCGGCAGACTCTCATCGGGGGGAAATTTGGGCTAAACCATAACCCCCGAGACACATACGACGCCGCGACGATAGCTATATCGCAAGACATGAGAGAATCGGACCAATGATTCAACAGGAAATGGATTTGGAAGAAAGTCAGAATATAATTCAGAATTTTATTTATGACGATGTTCCAGAAGAAGATGACATGACTGTAATTGAATAAATTTAAATTTCTGTATTCTGTGTAAAATAAATATTAAATAAAAATATATAAATATACTTTTATTTTTGCCCTCCCCCGAAAATAAGCCCTAGCACGTATTTTGGACCAAAAAAGAAAGTAAGACAGTGTCTTATTTTCGGAAAAAGATGGTAGTACCCCGTTTCGCTCAACAGTAGGAATTTAAATTCTTACTTTAATATGTATAATATTTAATTTATTGCGTTTTTAGTTTAATGTATATGTAATATATGCTTATTTAATCAAATAAGTAAATATTAGTAATACTATATTCAATTTTATAAAATAAATTTTTTTTCATCCAATATCTTACCAGTGCCACTTACTTTGTGATTGACGAACATATTCTTCATGGCTCGATTCTGGCGACACAAACAGTGCACACTCCTAAACGAGAGCGCCACAGTTAACTGGTTAAAATATTCAAATCTACTGATTATATGTAAACTGTAAGATGTGCAGGTATATTCATAATTGTTGACACAGATTGAGTTCAGTGAATGATTTCATTAGACGTTACAAAAGCTATTGTATCATTGCATAGGCAGAGTGCGAAATCATGTTATAGGACTTCATATTATATTATTAAAACAATTTATTTATTTTCCTAGACATTCCCACCCAGAATAAGGGTTGGGAAAACATGCCAGTATTATAACACGAGTTGAATAAATCTTTATTGTTCAACAGTGATTTTATTCTCTGAGTTCAGGAGAATGAGTAATTATAAATTTTTACTTTTTCTGGAAACGCTACATGATATATGTGTTAATCTCTTGCTATAACATTTCTGATGTTTGTAATAGAAATTAATATTTTTTTCTGTTTTTAGTGCCCAAAGTGCAATATCTGTATAGAAAAAAATGGAGGGTGCAATCACATGGTAATTTCATCTGTTTCCTTATTTTATTTTTACATTTGTTTATTTTAAGTACCTTGGCAGTTGAGCATTTTAAAATAACTTACAACACATTAATAAAAAAAATCATATAAGAAAAATATTTCTATTAATAAATATATTATGTTTTAGTAATAAATTAACTGTATTGATAAGCTTTTAGAAATTGAAGCATAAATTTTTATTTTCACTTTTCAGGAAAGGTGTGTTTTAATATTATTTATCTTATTTATATGGCCTACTAACAGTCAAACAGATAAGATCACTGAACATTGGTAGCTTACTGAGTTTAATTCCCAATGAATAAGATGATTATGTGAGAATTTCCATGTTTATCTGCATGTATGAAGTCAATTTCTTTTAGAAAAGTCTTCCATTAAGGCATATTTTTCCTTAGGCAGGTAGCCCTGTAATCAGTTAACCTGACTTTATTTAAGCATTATTAATTTATATCGATTTCCTGTATATGTAAGCACATTATAATTTGGGACTGAAAAATTCATCTATTTTAATTTATAATTTAGTTAGAATCACTTCCAAACAAATTATATAAAATATTTTCCATGTAATAAAAATATGCATTTTTTGTTGAATTTATTTAAATTTAAACCAGTTAACTGATGGTATAATAACTAATCCAGCAGTACTGTGATTGATTAAAATTAACTTATTAACTTAAGGAATTCCTCAGAAATTTTTCCATTTGATAACATATATATTTTTGATGAAAGTGATTACAATGCATTTAATTTTTACCAGTTATTAACTAAGACAGCAGTTAAGTATTTAAAGTAAGCTTTTATATAATCCACAATATTTTGCTAAATAATAAAAGGAAAAAACTATTTTGCTCTTTGATATAAAAAATTGGCCTCTCAAAGAGCATATAGCTGTTTTATAATTTTTTGCACATTGAATTTCATCTTAATTAATAGGGTTTAATGTATGTAATAACCATTTTTTGTGAGTAAACTTGTAATCTTTTTGTGCAAATGAATATTATAATTCAAAGTAAAGGTGTATTTTATTTTAATATTCGTAAATGTGGCAACATATGAATAAAAAATATCAACTTTACATAAACATTGCATTTTGTTTTGATTTATAGTATATTTATATTCTGATTTTTATTCCCTGTAATTATATATATTTTTTATAAATTATGTTTCCTCTTTTAGTTTGAGTAAGTGTCTGAGAAGCTTGTTGAATTTTAGTGATAAAGAATAAAGTTATAAATTTATATTTTTATAGCAGTGTTATGGTTGCAAATTTGACTTTTGCTGGATGTGCTTAGGAGGTGAGAACTCTTTATATATAGTAATTTTACTGCATCAGTTTTAAGATCTAAAAAATGTAGTTAATATAAAATGGTATAGTGCTGCAATTTCGCATAACAACATGATGACAGGTACACAAAATTGTTTGTAGTAGTAGAAAGCAACAAGGTATTTTAATAAATGCCAATAAAAAAAGCAAAATATTCAGAAATGAGGCTTGATTAATTCAAGACTAAGTGTATAATTCAAGGCACTATGTTTATAGTGCATAGATTGTTATTAAATGTTTTTAGTAATTAGATAAACAATATGTTGTGTTATTCATTTAATGCATAAATAAGCATATACTTACAGATCAAATTGGAATTTTCTCATAAGTGTGGTAGGAATGAATTTATATATTAAATCACTTTAGATTGTGATAGACTTACTTTAGATTGTTATAGACTGTTAGATGTGGTAAAATACAGTTTTAAGAATGTTTGTGATTTTTAGCTATTAAATTCTTGAATTCACTCATTTTCTTGCTTTGTGACAGCTGATACAGAAAATAAAAAAAAAAAATTATGGTGTAAAAAAAGGGTTGCTATTATATTTATTTAAAATAGGTATAAAATAATTGATCTTTCTTTAAATTTTTCAAACCTTTTCTATTACAATTTTACAATACAAAAAAAAAAAAAAAAAAAAAAAAAAAAGAGAGAGAGAGAGAGAGAGCAAGCTTTTAGATTTTGCATTACTCTCAGAGGGGCGTTCTTTTAACGTTTCGTATGGTACCTTTATTTATTAAATATCACATTCTTGTGCACTTAAAAAATAAAATTCAGTTCAACAGCAATATTGCAAAATAATTTTAAAATTAGCATATCTTTAGAATTTCCAATGCACATTCTGCTGGAGATAAAAAAAATTTTTTTTTTTGTTTGTACAATGTCGCCGTTGCTCGCTTTGAAATTGTCGAGTTTGTTAATCAAAAATTCATTGAAGTTTTACAAAATATTAAATATATAATAAAACAAATTCCAAATTTGGGCTTCCAGATGCCCATATTCTGGTGAAAACATATGTTATTCAAAATATTTATGGATTCGATGTATTTCCATCTGTTTCTAGCCAGTGACAAGAGTATGCTTATGCAGCTCTAAGTTTACATGAAGTATGTCTCACCTTATTAAACTTTAATTTTTAATGCAAGATCTCATCATATTAAATCTTTTTTAAGATAATCATTTTGAGGGTTCACATGATTTCAAATTTCATTGTAATCATAATGTCTAAGCATTCTTTTAGGCATCTATTTTTAAAATTGTTTTGATTCATGAATAATTATTCTTTTAATGTGCAGTTTTTTAAAAATATCTTCAATTGCAGTGTAAATGCAATTAGTCAGTTGCTTTATTTTTATGATAGATATTGACATTTGATTGATAATAATTTTTTATTTTATAGTTGTATAATTTTCAGAGTTTTATGTGATATTTATTTTGTTTTAATTAATTGTTATGATTTGTTGCCAATATCAAAGTATTTTAAGTTCCTTACTGTACCACAATTATGCAGTATAATTTACAAAATCTTATACAGAGAGACAGTTTTTATAAATTATACTATTTTTAGAAATTACATTGTTTATGCACATAAGCATACAACAAGATTAGTAACAAGGCTAATTTTCAAGAAGACTACATAATATATGAAGTGTAAACATGGGACGATTTAAAATAGCATTTGTCATGGGTTGAAGTTAGCCTAATTTTAACTTCATATTAAAAAAAAGTACTAGCAAATTTGTGATAGAGGCCTGCTTGATCTGATTTCTAGGAGCTGTTTTCTTAAGACACAAGGTGCTGTTTCTTTTTTGAATTAATATTTCTATCAGCAAAGATTTTTTAAAAAAACTTAGTTTTGATGTAGATCGTCTGCCTGTGGTTGAGGATTCTTTACTGTAAACGAATCTAGAGAATTCTTGAAATCCATTGTTAGGCATCACATTCTATTAAGAAAATTAACTGTGTATTTATAACTTTGCATGTCTGTTATTCTACATCACTTATGTAGAAAGTCTTCTATACACAGCAAGTGCCAGAAAGCAGCTGTTTTAAAGTTATTAGTTTCTGCCATGTGTGTCACTGTTCCAAAATTTGGCAGTTCGTAATTCATGGTACATTACTTTTTAAAAATTAATTAATGTTTTAAAGACTTAAAATACAGGATCCCTTGCAACTGTGATTTTCATTTTGTGCATTAAATGAGAAGGAAACTTAAGATTAACTTGAAATATTTAAATGGAAGGGTCAAACTTAAAACAGATGGAAGTAATTAAAAAAAAAAAAAAATGATAAAATCCAATGTTAGTTTGCGAGGTGTTGCGAGGAAGCTGTAATTTTTTCATAAATGCCAAATGAAATAGTTAAACCATTGGTAAAATATGTTTATAAGCTATATTGTTGAAATATGCTTATAAGTAGTGTTATGAAGTCATAATTTAAAAATTTATCTGTATATGTACAATAGATAGGAATTCAAATATCAATTTAACAATACATGTGAAATATTTTTTTTTTGAAATTTTATTTGACTTTTGAAACTCAATGTGTCCAAACTAAACTGATATATCATTCAAAAATTCATTAGTGAAAATGTCTCTTGTCACTTTATAATTTTTCTAGCTCAAAAAAAATTTCTTATAGTTATATACATAAAAGAAGCTATTAACAGTTGATCTCTTTTGTTTAAGATGTTCAATTAAGTATAAAGTATTTATCTTACAGATTGGAATGCTCATGGAAGTGAATATTACGAATGTAGTAGGTATAAAGAAAATCCAAACATTGCTAATGAATCTGCTCATGCTCAAGCTCGAGAAGCTTTAAAAAAGTACCTTTTTTACTTCGAAAGGGTAAAAATATATAAATATTTTTTCATTAGGGAGAAATGATTAATGTAACTTGTTCATAATCTCTGTATTCAATAATATGTGCCATATAATGCTATTTTAAAATCTTATCTTTTTCTCTATATATATTTTAAATTTCATATTATGCACTTGATGTATATGTATTTTGAATTCTTTATTGTTAAGAAAGGTTTATTTCATCAGAAACAGATAGGGGATTTAACTTCTTAATTTCCCCCCTGTTTATATTAGGTTTTATGAAACTTTTATAAATAACATTGTTCGTGTAGATATCGGTAATCTTTTATCTACATTTCCATGGAAATTTAATCGTTATTATTCATTTCCTGAAGTTTGTTTTTAAAAAGAAATATAGTTTGGAAGAGTTTGATAAAATTGTTTTGTGTAAAATATTTCAAAAACGAAAGGCAGTGTGGGAAAATTTATATTTAATTAGTTGTATAGGTTGCACTAGTTTATTCTAGCCATTTTCATAAGAGTTGTAATTATTGAGACTAATTTGCTATTACTTTTGCTTAATTGCCAATTTTTCCGTTGTGATCATATATGTCAGTTTGAAAGTGTGTCTATATAAGAAATGTATATGTCAGTAATTCCAGAATTTTTGAATAGAAAATTTACCCTAGGTGTTGCACTGAAAGAGATACTAACTTGTAATCATCAAATCTATATTCCTGTATGTTTTTCCAGCTTGATACAAAGCTTGGAAATTCTCACTCAAAAATTGAGATACTATAAAAATAAAATGCTCAATAGCATATTGAACATTCTATAATTAATTAGATATTTGTGTATAATTAATTGGAAATTAATTAATTGGAAGTTTCCTATGTCAGAGGTTTTCTAAATGAGATTGACAAAAAATTTTGTGTTGTAAATCAAAATGAGGTTCACTATTATGATAATTTTAACTATAAAAGTTTATTGGAAGATCATTCACTCCAACCATCTACAGCCTATCTCTTCTAGAATTAATGTAGAGTACGTAAATTAATTACTATGGTTACCTCTCATGTACATTTTGTAAATATTTTCATTGTTCTTAACTTTTGCTTGCACTGTGTTCACTATTTTGATAATTTTGGTTGCCATGGTTATTTTCTTCTGACTGCAGTTCAGTATGATTTGATGTTGCCACCTTTTCTCTATAAGTTACTTCTTTTTATCCAGTTTGGGCATTTTCTGATGTCATGTAATATATTGTTACTGTATTATATATCAAGTGAAAACACCTCTGTAGTATTAACACATATATTTATGAAGTGTTAATTTCTAACATAATCACTATAATCAACACTAATACAAATTCCACCCATGTATTTTCTTTTCTGTGCCTATTAATATTAATATCATCATTGAACTAGGAATAAAAAACCTCAGATCTAGCAGCCAAATACTTGAATTTAAAATATTTTGTAGGCTTGCTAGTGCAGAAAGTAATTACGAATAACACCACCAGATCTGATAGCCCCATTACTTGGATTTAAGGTATTTTGTCGACTTGCCAGTGCATCAAGAAATTAGAAATAAAAACCGAAATCTAGCAGTTACAGTATTTGGATATAATGTCATTTATAGACCTACAAGTGCATCATAGAATTCAGAATAAAGCCCCAAGTCTAACAGTTACAATACTTGGTCTTTGTAGACTTATCAATCAATGAATTAGGAATAAAATACTTAGTAGTCATAATGTTTGGATATAAGGTATTTTATAGTCCTCACAGTGTATCAAGGAATCAGGAAAACACCATTTCCTAGTTACAGTACATGGATATAAGGTCTCCAAGTTGATAAAACATCAGAACACTGGTATTTTTGTTCAATGTTTCATCAGTTATGATGGGATTGACTGCGGTGTTTCTCATGCCTGAACCAGTTTCTCTCAGAAATTTCTTCCATTATATCCTAATAGAGATATGTTTGAGTGCTTTACAAAAATGAGCTATATTATCATGTCAGATATGGGCTGCTATGTCTGTGTGTTGCGATGATATGTAGCAATCGATTAATCAAAGGACATAGCAAATTGCACCTGGTATTGTAGTTCTTACATATATCATGTCATTCTTTCTTCTTTTGTTATTTTCCTTGATATCGTGTTTTTGAATTCTGATTTCAAAGCAAGTTTGGATTTCTAGTAGGAGTATAACTTCTTTTAGGGTAATTTAAAACATTTATTTTAGTGGGAAAATCATGCAAGAAGTTTGAGATTAGAAGAGCAGACCCTTCAAAAAATAAAAGATAGAATAAATGAAAAAGTAATGGCAAATGAAGGAACATGGATAGATTGGCAATATTTAAGAAACGCAGCTGCCTTATTAGCAAAGGTAAGAACAAGAATTTTTTATTTCAAAATGTGTGTTTATCAGTTTTTCAGAATTCTTAATTGTTCAAAAACTGTTTTTTTAACATCCCTCTGAAAAATAACTTGCATATTTTAAGTAAACCTATTTCCTTTCTCTTGTATGATATAGGGTGAAGCATTTTTGAGTACCCATTTTGAAACTACTATATTTGGCCATAGAGACAATGAAACTATATATACACTGACTACCAATAAGTATTTGGACACCTGTGATAGAAAAGAAAAACTAACTTTATTCAAAATCAATAGTTGATAGAGCCTTCATGAGAGGTAATTACATTGTGGACCCTCCAGGCATACTTTCCACAAGTCTTTGTATGACAGCTAGTGGTATTTTCTTCCACTCGGATTGGAGAAGACATAGAAGTTCCTTCACCGATTTTGCACGGGTAGTGCACCCCTGAATTCAGCGATTGCAACTCGTCCCAGAGGTTCTCAATAGGGTTCAGGTCTGGACTCTGGGCAGGCCAGTTCATTCGATGAACTCCATTTGCACCATACTAAGCCTTGATTAACATCAAAACATGACAACTGGCATTGTCGTCCTGAAAGTAACAGGGGTCCAACCCTTAAAACTGTCACAGCGTAGGAAGCACATTGTCATCCAAAATAGTGCAGTAGGCATTGGAGTTGAGCTTACCATGAATGGGGACCTAGGGCCCCAGCCCATACCAGGAGAAATACCCCCAGACCATAATTCCACCTCCGCCGAACTTGACTGTTGGCACAGTGCATTCTGGCAGGAGACGTTCTCCAGGTAGACGCCAGACCCAGACCCTGCCATCCGAACGGTAAAGAGTGAACCTTGATTCGTCATTCCAAAGAACCCGTTTCCACTGATCTACGGTCCAATTTTGATGGTCTTTGCGCCACATTAACCGAGCAGCGCGGTTGGACTTTGTGATCAAAGACCTATGGGCAGTAGCATGATCATGAAACCAAGCAGATGTGCTTCCTTACGGATGGTATTCATTGAAACAATACTCCCGGATGCCTGTTGAAGCTCCTCGTGGATGAGGGCCATCGGTTGGGTGCGGTTCTTCCGAATTTCTCAGGACGGCACTCATCGGTCTCTATCGCCCAGTTTCGTTGGTCTGCCGACTCGAGGCACATTCCGACAATCACCGCTCACCTTCCACTTCTTAATCACATAGGCCAATGTCGATTTTGGGTACTTCAGATCGCTAGATATGTCCCTTAAGAATCGGCCACATTTGTGATATCCGATAATTACACCTTTCTCGAAATCAGAGAGCTTCGAACTGCGAGGCATCTTGCATGCGACTAAAGCCGATGCTGTTTCCTACACAATATACACCGGCGGAGTCCGTGACGTACCTTAGGACCGCATATATCGTCATTTGCATAGTTGTCCAAATACTTATTGGTAGTCAGTGTATATATTTTTGCTACACTTCTTTTTAAATGCATGCCGTATAGACTTTACAACTGCAATTTGTATGCATTTGGTACAGTTATTTGTGAAGCACTGCATCTGCCAAATGAATACTTTTTAGAAATTTTTGGAAAGGGAGAGTGGACTACATTGTATGCATGGAAATGTAGAGTTTGCTACACTGTGTGAATAGATGACAGCAGACGATTTTTCCAAACAGTCTCTGTGTTTTGTTGACATTCATTGGCTGGTCAGATCCCCCTACATAAATGCTCCAAACTTCTGTTTTGGTGGACACTTGAATGATAAGGTTAATCAGAGTAAGAAGTGTGGAAAAGCTGAAGGAATGAATCAGGGAGGAAATTGAGTGCATAATCCTGGATATCTTTGAGCGTGTTAAGCGAATTGTACATAATTATCTTGTGCAGTGCATTTCTAAATGAGGTGGGCATATGGCAGACGTACGTTTCTAAAGATGATATGAAGTATTTGGAGCTTCGTTGTCTCTAGCATTGAGTATGTTACTTTGAGAATCATACCTTATGTTACTATACAAATAATAGTACTAAATACAGTATAATTGCTGTGTAAAAGAAATTCATAAACTTTAAGTGTGTAAAAATTACATAATTAGATTTGTTACAGAAATAACTAAAGTTTAGCAAAACACACTATTTTACACTGAAATATCAACATTTCCTTCTCTTTCAACTAAATGCTGATTAGTGATGTCCATGATTCCAGGTTTTCTAAAACTCTAGCATACATTTCTAAATTTCCAATACAGTTCGCTGACGGCAAAATATTTCTTTTCTTTTAGAGGCAATGTATTAACTCTTGATTAACAGTTCTCTGTTGGGATCAGGACTTAGAAGAGAAGGGCTAGCTCATAGAGCTTTTCCCCCTGAAGCAGAAAGTGAGAAGTGATGACGTAGCCATGATGACACTGAGCGCGCCAATATAATTCACAGCTTGGAAATTAGCGTTTTTGAATCAGCGTTTAAAATGAGCTGTGTGTGAAAGATAGCTATAATTTGGAAGAAGCAATGTACTGCTTTATGCATTTTAGACTGAACCATTAAAAAATTTAATAATGTTACTCAATTTTAAAATAATAGATAAAATGTGCTACTCTTTTAATATAAAGTTCTGTGTTTTTTTTTTTTATTTTATTTAATGCACGTTTATTTTCAATCATTTTTTTGCATGCTAACTGAGAGAATTTTATACTGCTTCTAAGATAACTATAATAGCAGCTATTTAAATTTACTCAAAAAACAACTTTACATTGACATAGATTTAAAATATATCACATATATGGCAAACATTTCTGCTAACCTACGTTTGATTTTTTGCCTAATTGTAAAACTTTACATTGTTATAATTCTCTTCAATATAATAGATATTTTTTAAATAATTTTGTAATTTATACTTATATCTATATTACAATTAAATAAATGTATATAAAATTGTTACCTTAATTCTGACAAAATAGCTTTATTCAGAGTACCTAAAACAGTTATTTAATTTTTCAAAAGTGTGAGTAAAGGAAGCAGGTCTTTTTATGCCAATTACTTTGTTTTATACTATTATATTTTGTCTAGAATGCTAATCTAGCACAAAATCTAATCAATAATTAGTTACAAAGGATACAATAAGAATAACTTTAACAAGTACTTAACAAAATTAGTTTGTTAAATACTTGTTATTCTTGTTGGTACTATTCATAATACCGAAGATATTATCGATTAACTCATAGAAGTCAGATGCTTTCTGATTTCCTGTGCGGTAGAGTATACCTTTTGCGGTACTTCTCTGGAGCGACTTTTTGTCTCTCGTTTCCCTTGACCATTAAATAATTTGGTTTTAGTTTGTGCGAAACTGAGAACGCATATTTTTTCTACAGAATACAAATATTCGCCTCTTTCCTTCTTTAGAGTAAGAACATTACTTTGAATTCTTGGACTACACTAAAATTTAGAAAACACTATAAAATAAAATAAACACCATTTCTTTAATTTGATAATACTAGGTAAAGATATTCCAATTTTTTTCTTAATTTTTTTTCTTTCCAAAAATCATAGCTTTAAGATGACATAGCTCTTATGACAGTGCAACGTGAAATATTTTCACTAGTCCACCTGATTTTTTTCTTATTTTTCAGTAATGCAATTTCTGTCTAGATGTCGTCCACCCTCTTTGTCGCTGAACAAACATTCTAAAATTTTTCTTTTCTCTATTTTTCAATATTTTAATACAATTTTCTAAGGATATTATTTTGTTCTTCAAATTATCAATGCATTCTTGTTTATCCTTAAACATTCAGGATGATCTACATTTTCATTTGTGAGTTTTATTTCAAAATCATTAAAATTTGATTTATTATTGTCATCATCAATTTCGATTTTATATTGTCATCATGATTTACCTTCGCACAGCATTCCATTTCAACAGTTTCTTTTTGTGGCTATCCAAACAAGCGATTTTCATATCATCTTCATAAAAACTGCATAGAAAATGTTCGCTGCAGATTTTTCCGCTCTTCACATTAATAGAATCTTGTCTTTGACATCTGTGTATCCATTCTTTTGTCAAAAGCAAAATCTCATTTGGATCCTTTGGTCTCCATGAAATAAAATATCTCATCCTTTCGTACTTCTGTAAGTGCTACGGCACGTCACTACAGCGCAAAAAGCCATATTACGTAAACGGTACTTTACAATATAGAAGAATTTAAAATAAAAACTTACTAAAATTACATATATATAAATTATTTTAAATATATACATTATTAGAAAAACAGATAATATATATTTAAAATTAATTTGGTATATGTAACCTCTAGAAAATCGTCTCGCAGCTCAATGAAACTACTGTTTTAAACGCGGGAAATCAGGACAGGTGGCATCACAGTGACGTCAGATTATTGCCTGTTACGTCCCCCCCATTAGGCTCGCGTCGGCGAGGAGTCGAACAAAGAAATGAGCTAGCCCTTCTATTTATCCCTGGTTGGGATGGCCCTGAGGCCATATAAATAGAGAGCTTGGAAAAATCACGAAAAACTTGTACAATTTTTTAAAAATTAGTTACTATTAACATCCATTGACAGAAGTGACAATGCTAATCATTCTTTCTGTGTGATTCATGAATAATTTTTTTCTTGTCAGATGAAATAAAGCAAACCACCATATATAGGAAACCAAGGTTTTCACCCTTTGAAGCTTGAATGCAATAAATTAAAAATCCATTCTGTCATTATTATTGAGACATCAACATGTATTTCATTCTGTAATGTATTCCTGTAGTTTAGTATGATTTGATTTCATGTAATTCATTTTGATATTTAACATATTTCTTTTATCTGATAAGTAATCTGAGTGGTTATTTAATCTTATTAAAAGTGCATTTATTATGATTTTCAGACTAAAAAAATGGCTTTCTGCTAATAAATATTCTTTTTGCATTTAGTGTCGATATACTTTGCAATATACTTATCCATATGCATATTACATGGAAAGTGACAGGAAAGAATTGGTGAGTTTATTATACTATAAGGTATTATAAACTTAAAATAGTTTTAATCTCTTATTTGTTTTTAACTTTATTTATGTAATATTACCTGGTGTGCTTTTCATTACATTTTGTATTATATTAGTATGTTAATTATTTAATATCATCTAATGATCAAAGAAATTTTGGGAAAAAATTTTTGTTTATAAACATTTTACAGTATTAATGTTGCCTTTATGCAGTCATTCTTTGTGTGTTTTATAGAGCCATATGAAAGTTATACAATTTTTATGCTCTCTCTACTAATCAAATTGTAGTTTGTCTTGAAGTTGTATCTAATTGTAGTTTATCTTGAAGTATATGTGATAATGGTTTTAAATCATTTTGAAATTTTTATAATTAAAAAAATAGACCCCTTTTTTTGTTAAGATGCTTTTAAAAAGCTTATTAAATGTGTACAAATATATAGGATATTTGTAATTTAAAACAGTGAGTAAATTAATACTGTAATGCTTTTCATAAAACTTGCCTTGAACTTTTTTAAGCTTTTGCCATACTTAATTAAAAAAGTGCAGAGATCTGGAACCATCAGGACTTTTTCAATTCTGTATTTTAGAAACTTGCAGATATTATACCATTAATTTAAATCTAGTAAGACAACATGTAGAAAATTATAAGATGAAAAATATTTAATGATTGTTATTGTAAATAATTAAGCATTCATAATCAAAATTTCGTCGAAAAGCGAAAGGGGCGTCGAGGATAACTTAGGGAAGATAACTTTCTCCTGAAAATAACCTTATGTTAACATTTGTTTTGTTGAACATTTCTTTCGTGATTCGTTATTTCAGCAGTTTTTTTAATTAACTTCTTTCTTTTTAATTTTCATGAGAGAGATAATTTCTTATTCTGGTCCAAAGTTCCATAAATTCTTTAATTCTTGAGTAAAGAATTTTCTTCTTAAATTGTCAAGTGAAATCTTGTAATTTTCTATTACTTTATCACTTCTTCTTTACTTATAATTATATTTTCTGGATTTGAAACCATGCTTCACATTTTGCTGGCTGTTAATTGATTGATAATTGCACATTATCAATGTAGTGAAGATTTCAATAACAGCATCCTCATTTAGCATTTCTTCACATATTCCACTAATTGTCAAATGTTAATTTCCATAGTGCTAGACATTACGCTAGTTTTGTTTGACTGTTTATTCTCAGACGCAAAGACTTTTTCATCTAACCATTGTTTATTTTATTTTATTTATATATTTTTGTAAACTGAAATGTATTTTTACAATTTGTGATTTTGCCAAGAGATGAACACATGGCAATTCTATTTCTTCAAGAAGGAGGATATCTTCATAAAGAAAGACTATTTGAATAATCACTTCATGAAATTAAAATGAGACTTGAAATGGTGGTATTTTCTACCATTTTGGCGTATTACTGATTTTGCCATCCATTAACCTGTTCCTGACTGGCAAAAGGAGAAAGAAGTGCCCCTTTAGTCCAGTATATGTCCATATTATATTGGACTGGGTAATTTTTCTCCATTAAGCCTAATTTTGCTTAAAAATTCATGTCAAATCTTTAATTAAATATGCTAAAATTTACAGTTTGTTATTATTAATAGTATCTGAATATACTGCAATAACATTTTCATGATATTTAAAAAAAGAATTGTGAATTTTAAAGAAAACGGTTTCCATTTTAAACTGTCAAGGAAAAAAAATGGACACTTAAAAAAATTGAACAAATTGCTACTAAAACTACTTGATATATCAAAACAGATTTCATAAATATAACGAAATGAATAAACTATTCTCATTTATAAAGTACTATTAGGGTCTATCCTTCTGAAAGAATCAAACAGATGCAGTTGTTTAAATGTTCTTTCCTGATTTAACAAACAAAACTTGGAAACGAAATCTCATATTAAAAGTTAGTGCTCCATGGCATATTATTTGAAAATACAATTGACTTCAACACCATTTAATGGCACTTAAAAACTTCCATTTTGAAATAAAAAGTTGTGATTTGAAATCACACTAATGTGAGCATTGGCATCCAGGCTTGGAAAGTCTCGTCACATCTATAATACCATGGGGTAATTTCATGATCATGGTCCTGAATGGTTTAATAGATGGGTGGTTCAAGTATTGTCATTACAGCAGCAGACTTCAGTTTTATAATTTGCATTTAGAATTCTTGGTATTGCTTTCGGGGTGATTGTGGTCTGGATATAGCCAGAATTCGGGTGGGAGGAGGCTATTTTCTCAAATCCGGAATCTCAGGATTTGAGAAATGTAAACTTTGTAATCAGTCAATCTGTGACACCAAAATCTTTTTCAAATTTTGTTTTAGAACAAATATATCATTTAAAGATTACATGAATTTAAAACTTTTAGACTATATAAAGCTCAATTAGAAATCAAATTTCTTGTCTGAGCAGGCCACCAGCAGCCGAGCGGTAAAGATGCTGAACACTGGTAGTTCGGTCCGAGGTTTGAATCCCGCGAACGGGCTGGCTGCATAGGCGTTTTCGGGGTTTTTCCCATGTGTATATGAGCCAGTTTCCCTGTCCTGCACGGAGGCATCCCTACCTTTAGGCAGATAGCCCTCGTGTCCTTTGCCATAATTAAATAATCCAATCCAATCTTGTCTGAGCAAAATTAAGTTTGTCTTTTTGCTGTCTTATAAAGCAACAAAAAACTTGATGTTGGGTAATTTTGCACAGGGGTTTATTCAGACAGAAGAATATAGGAAAACAGAAATATCTAATATTGACAAAAAAGAATAATCTATTTTAACTTGCCTTCATGGACTGATTTCATTTAATTATTCATGTGATATGATGTTAGAATGAAGAACATCCTTAAACAGTAATAGTTTAGATGCTGCACAAAATGAAATATTTATTCTCATACACAAGACTGCAATGGAACTTTTGGTTAGATAATCCTCCTTATGACTGTTGGAAAATGTTTCACAGGTAATATAGATTATTTATTGCATGTCTAAACAGTTTTCCGAAATTCTTTAAACTCTATGAACCATTTTCTTCTTTCTAGCAGTAATGTATCTAATAGCTCTAGTATTTGTTATTATGCAGAATGTGTTTTGATATGATAACAGTAATATTAAGACTAAACAAAATAATGAGCTGCATCAGATCGGAAAGTTAAGGAATAGCATAATTCACAGTGTTAAACTGAAATTAATCAGAATGTAATAGTTTCTCTATAATATAATTTCTTGAAATTAAAACTACAACTTGAAACTGTAAACTTGAAATTAAACTCATAATATTTTACTATAATTTTATAATTATTTGAATGTTTTATTTTCAGATTGCCATGTAATTATTGATTTTAGATTTCAGACTGTTATTCTTTGCAGTAATTATGATCGTATAATTTTTAATCATTAAATTTTAACAAATTTTTCATATTTCAGTTTGAATATCAGCAGGCCCAACTAGAAGCTGAAATTGAAAATTTATCATGGAAAATCGAGCGGGCAGAAACAACAGACAGAGGGGTAAGTCTAATATAATATTTGATAATAACAAAAAAAGTTCATTGGAATGAAATTAGAATTACAACTGTATATTTGATGGAGATGCATAAATTGAATATACAGATATATTTGCACTATTATGCAACAGATTTGTGATTTTATGAACTATGATGTTTGTCTTGTAGTGTTTACAGCCTTTTAGACCAATTTCCATGTGCAAACTTTCAGTTTCAGAATTTGTTTTCAATCATTTGAAGTTTGTGAAGTCAAAAATTCACTTATATATATGTTATTCTGAGTACATTTAATAATATATCATTAATTAATATGAAGTTTTTAATAATATTACAGTAACCCCTTGCTGAATGCCAGGGGGGTTATGTCATTTATACGTAGTGTGTATGGTACAGTCACGTTTTCTAAAGTTAACTACCTATGGAAAAAAGTGTGCTGAGTATAATTAAGATTAAGAAAGCATGTAAAATTTGACCAAACGTAAATATTGTTGTAATTAAAAGGAAAAAACAAAACAAATGTTAATTGAAAGGATTGGTATTCATGCTTAAGGAGTGTATGATCGAATTATTATTTTTTTAAAAAATAAAATGGTGTGGAACAATGAATAACACAACTCTTTTTCAAGTTTGCAGTAATAAATGCAGAGCTTTTCAATGCCTCTCATGAAATGGCCTTTTCTTTCTTCATTTGGGTCAATCTCCATTGCAAACTGAGTTCTGTGCTGTTTTATCTTCATTATCATTGCTTTCTTTGTCAGCTGGTGTTACAGGATCATTAAATTCATTCATTATTTCTTAATTTTTTTTGGCTTCTCTTTCATCCCTTTCTGAAAATCCTTAGCCACCAGTTGTTTTTATAGTTTGTATGATTTCTTAGATTTCATTTTTAATCTATGGAAATCCTTTAAAATTGTTGATAACTTCTAGCCAGAGCTAATGTCAGCAACAGGGTTCATATGGTCCTTAAAATTCCTTAGATTTTTTTTGAATCGATTTTTAGTCCTTAAAAGTCCTTAATTTTGGCCAAAATCAGCAGAAGGTCCTTAATTTTAATCATCTGAAATTTCTGTCTGTTTTTATGACTGCCATTTTGAGTGTGAATTAGCATTTTGGAGAAATATTTTTGGCGATGGACTGATTTCTAATATAAATGATGGGATACTTGAGTTTCTAAGCAAGAAATGAAACACACACATTTTGAAATTCATTTTCTTTAATAAAGAGCTCTTAAACAACTTTTCGCTTTTGGGGATGTGAATTCTTTTATTAAACAGTTCTAAATTTGGCGACTTTTCAACATTTTTAGTGATTTTGAGATCAGTTTCTATAGATAATTTTTAATTCCGAGATTTAGGAATTTTTCAACGATTTTTTTAAACATCTTAGCATTAATTAATTTCATTAAAATAATGGTAATATATTAAAATTATATTTAAAAAATAACAATAAAATAAAACATTTTTTTTCGCTGTCATAAGTTTTATTTTGGCAACTTATTATACAATATTTTGAATCTGAAAAATAAACAAGGTATAATGCTATAAAGCACAATTTACAAAACACCTTTTGGCAAAAGCAAAATGAGCTATGTAATTAATTAAAAATGTTTTCTTTTTAATTTTTTCATAGTAAGAGCATTTCCCATGTAATTGTCTCAGAATATTCAAAATTCTCAGAATATGCATCAGTTTTCTCTATAAAATTAATTTTACACTTTTTCCCACCTTCTTTTTTTCCAAAATATTTCTGCCTTTTTGCTTTTACAGAATTGGTAGGGATAATTTTTCTTTAGGATTTTAGACATTGCAGCTTGGAAAGTTTAGAAGGATTTGAAGGCAAGATTTATAGACCCACGATTCTAGGAGATTCGAGAAATATGTGACAAAATGAAAAATGTCTCCATGGTATCAACATGTAATGGATGTATTTTACAGAAAGTTTGCAATGAATTTCTTACTTTTTGGAGAACGTCTGGAAGAACAATGAAAACATAATATTTGAATGTTTTACTTCTGATACTAGAATCTTAACATGTTAATCTTCCCTTTATTTTCTCTACTTTTCACTAGACACAAGCATGGAAAATATCAAAAATGCTTGTAATCTTATTACATGGGCACGCATTATAAAAAGGGATTTTTTTATTAATAAAGAATTTGAAAACCTGTAATTTAAAACATTCATCTAATATGTCTTAATGCATCATACACATAGCACATAGGCATTTCCCACCTGATGCAAACTCTGTGGATCTTAAATTCTGCTGCCTAGTGCTCTTCTAAATTCTGCTTCCAATGCCTGCTCTAAATTCTAAAAGTATTGCCATTTCTAGATTTTGTTGTTCAGTGTGTCACTAAATTCTAAAAATTCTGCCACATCAGCTCTGTAACCAGCCTTTACCATATATATTTCATATTTCTTCTGAGTGTTCATATTACTAAAATAAATTTAGCCACATTTTCTGAATATTCTAAATTCATTTAGTGTTTTTTAGGATATCAGAAATCCTTAATTAAATCCAAAAATTCTAAAATGAAAAGGAAACATGTTGAAGAAAGAAACTGAGTATATAAAGAAATTATTCTTCAAAGATATATGCAGTTATTATTATGTAAATTACCCAATTGTCTATGATTTCAGCCTTTACTTCTATTTCCTCATATGATAAAATTACTGAGTCAGATTAAATTAAAATTAAATTGTATAATCTTTGACCTCTATACATTTTTAGTTTGAATTAGACTGCTGTTGTTTAATTTCGTCACCGTGAGCTGTAATTTATTTTGTTAGCATCAGAACATGCCTTTATGTTCTAAGTTCTTTTTAAATAAGAAGCTTATTTAAACCTTTGTCTGATATTGTAGTTACTTTTAGACATAGCAATAATATGCTTCATGTCTGTCGGCACTTTTGAACTATATAACTTTTATCAGATCAAGTAAACCCTAATAGGTACATTGTGGAGAGGTTGACAAGTTAGGAGATAAAGCACGCAGAAACTAGGGAGAGCAATGGTTTACATATTGAAACAAATCTCTTATTGTTAGAAAAGATGCTTAAAGAGAAGGAAATTGATATAAACTAGCCAAAATGTCTGGGAAGGCTTCGAATTAAAATGACGGATAAATATTTTATTGAGTGTTGTTGTTACAAAACATAAACGTTTTGTAGCTTTTAATGTGTAATTATTCTAATATCGTTTAAGAATCAATATCGTAAATTACATGTATTTTAAATTGTGAAATTTTATTAGATTTTGATTTTAATAGGGCTTTTTTTTAACAAATATTGTTAAAAATAAAATTTAATAGTGTCATGTAAATCCATAATGACTAAGATTATCAAATACCTAATTTAATTACCTTTATAACTAACTGCATTACCCTTAAAAATTATCTCTATACATGTGAAAGCCAGTTATTTGCCTTTCAATAATACTCACTTGTGGTCACAAGATAAAATACGAAAAATATAACAAATTCAAGTAAAAGACTTAAGTTGTAAACTTTAAGAAGTACAAACTCTAAAGAATAAGATGCAAAGACTTAGTGTAAATAATACAAAACAACTTATCACCTCTGGTGCTTTAAATGCTTATTGGAACCTAAAGTATATTAACTGGGTTACAACCCCTCAAACTCTACATGAAGCTACAACACTAACTGCATCAAACGGAGCCTGACTAACTTTCAACACTTGCCAACCATGCCTACATCAGGCCTTTCAGATTTGTTCTAATCAGCAGGTCTCTCTCTAGACAAGCAGCAGCAGTGACAACATTCAGTCTTTTGTTCTGAATCATGCTGATTATGATCTTACTTCTCATTTTAACCTATGCCGTTTGACATAAAATCTACCTGCTAAACCTCTAGACTGACCAAGTATGTGACAAAATGAGACATAAAAAAATCAACATAAAGCTAACTGTTAGTAAAACGTAAATGCCACCTATCTTCTTTCAAATATGACCAACTATTATAAGTGTAAAATATTTAATGGTACTTGATAAATTGCATAAAGTTTATTTTATGCTCAAACTTATTAAATAGTTATGTTCATTAATTCAGATTTAGTAATACTGCATACTACTTAGGGATCTATTTTATTTTTAGGATGATGTTACAAAAGTGAAATTCAGGCTTAGATAATATTTTTAATTAAATTTATTCAGTTCCCATTTGCTCATAGGTCCTTAATTTTTTTCATTCATGGTCCTTAAAAGTACTTAATTTCTGTGTGCAGAAATGTGTACGAACCCTGCAGCAAGCATTGGATGTTGGTGGATGAAGGTTGAACTATGTATGAGGGAAATTCTAGTATTGGACAAATTAAATGGAAATAATTAAGATAATGCTCATATGCAAAATCATGTTCTAAGAGCCTGCATATGGCAATGGTTTACTGTAGATTCATAAATGTTTTTTTAATTTTCACTATTGTTTTACATGTTTCATTTCATAAATGCAGTTCGAGCCCTTGAAGGAAAAAGGCCTGGGAATTGCTTAATTTTAGTTTTTAGTTAATTTTAGAATAATCAGATTTGTAGTTTGAAAATTGACAAGAGTATGATCTTCATAGAGATCTTCTAATTATTTTTCTAACTAAAATTTGATTTAATTTCATTATGAAAAATATTATAAAATTAGTATTGTAGTGAATGGATAGGGAGAGTATACTATACATCACATAAAAAGGATCTCAGTGGAATATCTTGTGTTTGTTTATTAGCTTAAGTAGTATTAAGTTTCGTTCTTTTTTTTTTTTTTTTCTTTTTCAGGAGATTGAAAATCAAATGGATGTTGCTGAAAAAAGGAGGATGACACTTTTTATTTCTTTTTTCAGGATCTAGAAAACCAAATGGATGTTGCTGAAAAACGAAGGACTACACTTTTAAAAGATTTCTTAGCTGTGTGACATTTTTTGCCTTAAACTGGGGGTGACCATAATGTACAGCATTCTGCATCATCATTATTGCATTTACTAATATATCTGTCAAGTTTTAAATTTTTTGGTTACTAAAAAAATATATTTATTTCACAAATTTAACCAGGCTTTTGTTACATCAGATGTTTTTATGCTTTGTTTTAACGTCGCATATAAAGGGGCTTTGTGCATTTGACAAAAGCATTTGTGTAATATAAAATTTATATTAATGCAATTTCACTAGAAATTTTATCCAACAGTTACCATCATTCACATAATACTGAGACAGATTATCCTAATTTCCATCTTAACATTTTAGCTTGTGATTTTTTAAAGTAAAACTTATAAGACAAATTATTTCATAAACATTTATATGCATGTATACACTTAACACTTACATATATAGTTACAGATTTTTTGTTACTTAATTAAAAAAAATCCCTTTGGAAATTTATTTTAAAATGCATAAATAACACTTTTAAGGAAAGTCCTGGAAGATGTAGGAAAACCTTTTGGATTTTGCAGGGGGGTGATAGATTAGAAAATGCAGTTTTAATTTTTTTTAATGCAAAAAAGTTATAATAGTGAGGTAATTATTCTCTTTTGCAATATTACTTGGTAAAGTACTTGTATAATATTATTACAAAAGTCATGAGAAATAAAAGTCCATTACATCAAGAATTAAAAAAAAAAAACTTTTTTTTTAAACCATGAGAAGCACTTTTAATAATAAATTTGCTTTGGAAAATTTGAAATCTAATTCTGCAATTAGTTATATTAACTTACTTTCATTATTACTTCAGCTATTTTTCTGTGTTGTTATCTTATAGTAGAGCATTTTTAGGGCGAGGGTTGAATTTGCTTACTGTATTTACTTAAAAATTAGACCCGTCCCCCTTTTTATTGCTATAATTTTGTTGCAAAATTTGGAAGGGTCTAATAAGTGGGTATAATGATATATAAAGAAAAGAAGGAGCGTAATTGTCATATTGTATAAAATAATTACACCATTTAAATACTAAATAAACCACAAAGACAAGTTACTATATATATATATATATATATATATTCAAGATAAAAAGTACATAAATGTTAATTATAATTTAAGTTAGCAGTAGCCTTTTAATGCTTAATTTTAATTTAGGTATTTCTGTCTTTATTCTAAAAATACTAATAAGCTTTTCTGAACTGTATGATTTCAAGATTATCCATAGTGCATCTTTATGGGATAGTCTTGAAATGACATAAATGGAACTGAAACTCAGACAGCCTATAATAATTTTACAGCTTTATTAATTATCCAGTCAAATACATTTAAACTGAAACTAACTTATTCCGTAGTTGGATTTCATCCTAAACATGAGACTTTTGCTTATATAACTGTTGCCACAAAGACTGCTGCTTATTGCTTTCCTTTTTTCTGGAAAACAATATTAAAAAAATATAACTGTTCTGGAACAAGTATGATTAAAGTGTGTATGGCTGTAAATATCAAGCAGTCATATACTAAGAATTACAAATTGTTTTAAATGATGCAAATAGTTCTGTTTTGGAATTTTTAAGTTAAAAAACAACTTTGTAAAATTGCAAAATTTGTCTTGGTACTTTCTACTGGTTCCTAAACTTACTTATATTTAAGAAAATATTATACACAGCATGAAAAATAAAATATTAAAAATGTGACTTTTGTACGAGAAAAATTGATTGACATGTTTCATTTTAAATTTGGACATCATATTTAGTGGCTGTGGAGAGCAAATTTCGTTTGTATGTGAACTGTTGCTAAAAATATCAGTTTAGAAAGGTTTCTGATATTAATAGATTGATTGGGAACAATTTTGTGCAGATTTTTGTAAAATTGATCAATTAAAATTTTTTGAAAAGGAAATGTATATTAGTGTTATAGAACACTGGCAAGTTTTAATAGTGGCAGTGCATCTTACAGTCAACTTATAGCATTTATTTGCATAAGTTAAAAATTAAAACCATTTCTGGTTTAATGAAATTTTTGTGTGATTATGAGGTTGTATTTCTAAAGTAGTAAAACTTTATGAGAATATTAATAATATATTTATAGCAATTGGAAATTTATAAATTGTGTAAAAATTCTTTCAGCAGACCAAGTGTAATAAAATTATAAATTAAAGAATATTACACACTATAAAATAGCATTTAAAAAGGGAAACCGACTTCCAAATTATTTGAGAGGCAAATTGTAAATGATGTTAAATATCTCTAATTTTTTTTTAATTATCTTGGCCAGTTTTTGTCGTATGGAAACTAAACATTTTCAATTTTCATAATGAGTAAAATTTTTGTAAATGTAACTGTAGGGACTGGGTTATTGTGTAAAAGTTTATACTGTGTAATTTGTATCAAATTGACTTTTCAAGGGTAAAAATGCCAAAATGTGATTATTTGCATCATTTAAAATATTTTTTAACTGGAAGAAAAGAGCCTCAGTAAGGACTTTTGTGGACATTTTATATGTAAACTACATAATTACCATTAATTGTAATTGCCATGTCTAGTGGAGTGTTTTCAGTTTATGTCTGCATCTATAATGCTGATCACTGGCATGCGTGAAACAACAATGTGTCACAAACTTTTTCCAACTTTTTTTCTATAACATAGTAAAAAGTTGTATTTAATTATGTTACCTGCTCTTCATTCTAATCAGAATCACGGCTATCTCTTCAAATATTTTTTATTTCTTTTATCTTAAAGAAAGAAATAAAAATATTTGAAATAAAAATATATTAAAAATATTAACCCTTCGTATCTTTTTTTATATGAAAGGTTTTATTTTCTAGTAAATACAGTATGCTTTATCTCGGATATTTCAAATCCTTATAGATATAACTTAAAATATGTCTTTCCCCCAAAAAATCCTGTAATGTTTTTAGGAAATAGAGAATGTAACCATCTTTAACAAGACTTTCAAAATAAAAATTATTGTAAGCTTTCCTTAGTTTGAATGTTTTATAATTAAATAGGAATTTTTGAAGTCATCTTAAAATCGTTACAAGTTTTTTTTTAAGTTTTATGTTTTGCGGTTTTCTTAAATTTAATTTATTTTTGTTTATTATTCCTGTGAATAATCTTTTTATATGTACTTTTGATTATTGCAACTATTTTCATAAGTTCATGTGAAGAGTTCTTATATATTTTAGAGAATCTTCCTCTGAGGTATGGCAGAAGTATCAAATTATAATTCAAACTTAAGTTCATTTTTGGAATTCATGCAATTACTTTGATTTATATGTAATTTTCCTTTAGCTGCTTTATGCTTGAATGTAGTTATTGCAGTATTGTTTTGTATATGTAGTGTGTATTTCATTTTAATGTTTAGTTTGCTTCCAAAAGTGTCTAGATTATGTGTCACATATATATTGGGTCATTTGGACAATTCTGTGGTTTCTTCAAAAACAATTTTTTTATGTATGTGGTATGGCAACAGCTGAAAACTTTATTGAATGACATATTATGCTTAGTGGCTTTTTGCCATCTCACTGACAGCTAGAAAATTCTCCTTTCAAAGAATATTTTAGGTGTAATAAAAAAAAAAAAAATATTTGATGGTTGCCTAAGAACTGAACTTGTTGCATAGACAATTTTTAACTAATTGAAGCAGTTATAGAAAGGCAAGTTGAGTTGACTAAGGAGAATGAACTATAAAACATGCTAGCTATACTCAATAAATTCCCATCTGACATTGATTAAAATATAACACCTAACATTGTAACATAACACATTGGCAGTTGGTCACTTGGACAATTCTGTGGTTTCTTCAAAAACAATTTTTTTATGTATGTGGTATGGCAACAGCTGAAAACTTTATTGAATGACATATTATGCTTAGTGGCTTTTTGCCATCTCACTGACAGCTAGAAAATTCTCCTTTCAAAGAATATTTTAGGTGTAATAAAAAAAAAAAAATATTTGATGGTTGCCTAAGAACTGAACTTGTTGCATAGACAATTTTTAACTAATTGAAGCAGTTATAGAAAGGCAAGTTGAGTTGACTAAGGAGAATGAACTATAAAACATGCTAGCTATACTCAATAAATTCCCATCTGACATTGATTAAAATATAACACCTAACATTGTAACATAACACATTGGCAGTTGGTCACTTTGCAACAATTTTTGCTTTCAGAATTACCACTTGAAAAACAATATTTTTTAGACTTACTAATATGGTTAGGCGACAGTAGTTCCAAATAAATTATTCTATCATTTTCTTACCACAGTGTTCATATTTATGGGCCATTGCAGAAGTTATGTTCGGCTTTGGCAAAATATGGCATACCATATCCTACAGCAGTTTATTTAGCTTTCTTAAAATAATCCATGTACAGTACTTTTAGAAATATTTAGTCTGTCTGATAGCTTCTGAAAGGTATAAGAGGTTTTCCTTCAGTGCCTACCTTTCAATTGTCTTTATTTGAAGTAAAGGCCATACAGATCAAGTGTCATCTTTGAGCATGTTTCTGTATTTAATTTTCTAAAAACAATGCCATTAGCAATTATGAGCCTTCTGATCAGCAGAGTTTAAACAAAGAACATAATATGACAAAAATGAAATGTGCTCCATCCATGAAGTTGTACTCGGGGGGAGGGGGGGAAATAAAAATGCCATAGCATGTATGAGAATGCTACTCTAGAAAATATGTTTTTCAGAATAGTATTCTTGTACGTGTAACATTATTTTAGTACTAACCTGGAAAAAGAGATAATACAGTGGAACCAGGAAATATCAGTGTTTATTATTAACTAGAATTAAGAATTTGCCATAGCAGTAATAATGAAAATGAGCAGAAGATTCACACAGATTTTAATAAAAATGCCATATTTAATAAAAATTTAATAAAAATGCCATAGCATGTATGAGAATGCTACTCTAGAAAATATGTTTTTCAGAATAGTATTCTTGTACGTGTAACATTATTTTAGTACTAACCTGGAAAAAGAGATAATACAGTGGAACCAGGAAATATCAGTGTTTATTATTAACTAGAATTAAGAATTTGCCATAGCAGTAATAATGAAAATGAGCAGAAGATTCACACAGATTTTAAAAATTGCAGTACTTTTCAAATTACCCAATATCAACAGAGTAGTTGACTGTGATTTTTCAGAATTGTTACATTAAGCTATTGTCACTGAAAGAAGCTTCTTTTCTGTAACTGATTGTCTTTTCATGTGTATTTTCAAAACAAGCTAATAATAATTTATAGGCAGATAATTTAAAATGTGATGTAAAGTACATATGTATCTATTGCTAAAATTTGGGACATATACTTGTAAATACCAGCTTGGCTAAATATATTTTAAAAACTTTTTTAATACTGTTAATTTATATCAACTGCCAGTTTTTTAGTAATATATACTGTAGCCAATTGGTGCAAAACAAGATTTTTTTATTGTAATCATTTTTATCAAGTCATTATGGATTTTGTAATGTGAATCCATATTTATTAAATAACCAAATACATCTTAGTGGTTTATTTGTTGCCATTGTAATATAAATTGCTGCAGAATGTTGTTTCATGGTTTAGCCAGGTTTAATTGTGCTACATTTGTATGTATGTAGCCATCTCTTACTGAAATTTGAAGAGAAAAATGTAAATATATGTTGTACAGTGCTCAAACATTTTCTTAAGCATAAATTAAAAAGAAAAAGAAAAAAAAAGTTAAGAAAAGAAAAAAAAAGTGTCTGATAATTTTGTTTGAATTTCAAATAACAGCTCATACATGTACATAGTCCGTAAATAAGCAGTGGTACCTGAAAGGTACGGCTAAGTTTATAGAGTTTTGTCACAATTGAAATTAGTGCCCAACTTTGGATATGAATTGAAGTGAAACTTGAAAACTCGTTTCTTATCGATTCAAAATTTATTTAATGATTATATCAAAATAGTTTCAGTGAAGCTGAGAGAAGTATTACTCAAGTGGTTCCATATTAATAGTATTTTTTATTAGTTCTATTAACCCTTGAAATGTTTATTGTAAAATACTAAATCTTTTACTGACACAAGTCCTAACTAATTTACAGTTTTTTTAACTATCATTTTTCTTAAGATTATATTTAAAACAATAGATTAACCATTGAAAATGAAAGAATTTACTTTCATGTAAAAGAATGTGATTATACCATTTTTATTGATTATTTTTAACATGTTTTAAATTTCTATATTTTCTTTTAATTAAAAATAAAATGAATTGTTATAGTTAGTACACTGGTGAGAAAAATTAAAGGAACATTTATAAAAAGGTGCTTTATATTAATTATACTACGTATAAAGTCCAATGAAAGGCAGTTGCTTGGTAGGTCAATTTCAGTATTGCATAACATCTAGTGAGATTCATTTTGACTATACAAAGATATGTAAATTTTTGCAATTCCCCCCCCCCAACCTGTTTGGAAAGGTGTGCAAGGAGATGCTTTAAATTCTAGTTTTTAAAATTGTACAAGTAGTGGAATAAAAGTTTGTGTATGAAAGATGAAATATATTATTGAGAAGACTTTTAATAAAATTGGAGTAGGGTGTGACTGGGAGAATGGAATATTCAATTTCTGATAAAATGTCAAACACTTAATAAAGAGGTTATGTGTTTTATAAATGTAAGGCAAGGAAATTCTTGATTTAAACCTGTAGAATAGGTGAAGGAGATAGATGCTAAACAAATATAATAATATAATAAGGACAAATGCTGAAATTAGGAGGAATATTGTGCAACTGGAAAAGTGGAAGCAGGACAGATGCTAAAATTGGGAAGAATAGTGTGCAGCTATTCTTCCCAATTTTAGGGAGAATGGAAGCAGGACAGATGCTGACTCTGATTATTAAAAGTTTAAAAGTGTATCTGAAAATTTCAACTTTTCCATACTCAACATTATATCATAGTTCCTGTGTTTTAAACATTAGATTTTTGCAGGAACAGGCAGTTATGTATTTTGAAGCTATGCCAGACTTGAGAAAACAAAGATGTGAGGACCATGCTCTTAGCTGAAAAATCACTTGGAATTACATGAGTTTTTATTAATTGTTTTTTAATATTTCCTGCCAGTGTATTGAACTCTTAGGTCACATTTTATGCATTCAAAACTTACAAATTTGTATTTTCATAACCGTGTTGGAGAAGGTATTATTAAAAAAAAAGGAAGGAAAAAAAAAAAAAGATTCCATTATTTGTACTATAGTTGTAAATAACAAAAGGAATTGAATGGCGAATGGACAAAAGAAGTATACAAATTGGTCGTAAAGATTTAATTAACAATCATTTTAGTCCAGTTAGGATTGCTTAAAGTTTATTGTGCGGTTATTTTAGTTTAGTGTGCGGAAATATGAGCACAAAAGCATGTCATGCATTTCTGGTATGCTTGATTCATTATCACTACATAAATGAAGCAGTGACCTAAAATATAAATGTAATAGTTACAGCCATGCAGTGACAACTTTTATTTGTATATTTTTCACACTAATAAGAGCCTTGCAATTTTTTAACCCAAAGAGCCCAGAAGGGCTATTAATCTCAAAACTGCATTTTGTGTATAATCACTAAATGCATTAAATCACTTTTAAAATTGTTGCCCTGTATTATATTTAAAGAAATTAAATAATGAAAGATGTGCGATGAATGTATGTATATTTCTCGCACTGTGAAAAAACAATAGTACTGAGAGCCAAGAAATTCTGAATAACGTAGTTCTCCACCTGAATATGGGTACCTTGAAACCCAAATTTTGAATTTGTTTCATCTGTTTCATATTTTATAAAATTTTAATGAAGTTTTGATTAAAAAACTCGATTTCAAAGCTAGCAGTAGCAACACTGTACAGAATAAAACATTTTTATCTCAAATGCGCTATACTGTCTATCGGAAATTCTAAAGATATGCTGTTTTTAAATATTTTTAGTCCAAATTAATATAAAATCTGAAAGCTTTCAGTTTTTTCCCCACACCGAAAAAATAAAATATGCCCTTTATCTTTTTAGTGCAATGCAAGCGAGTGAATATAAAAAAACATGCGTAGAGTTAATGCTTAGAAATTGTGCAAAATCTTATTGAAAATTCCACAATTTAATTGTGTGCTTGTTAAAGATATTGGCTATTGGAGGTAAACAATGATAAAAATTTACCAACTTCAGCATTTGTCTGTACAAAGGCTGTTTGCACATTTTTCTAGACGTTTTTCAGTGTATTTACAGAAATATTTCCCGAAAAGTTTGTGTTTTAAATATTCTACTCGACAACTCTCATTCTTCACTATCTTTCTCACCGTAATTTCCAAGACAGCCTTTTGTATCGGTAGAGGTATTTTATCTCATTCTTATTGAACAGCTTTCCAAAGTCCAAGGAGGGTTGTAGGTCAACGTAAGATCAATCTGTATTTTAAAAGTGCAAAAACCCATGAGTGACACATCAGGAGATTTAGTAGTGATATGAGTGAAGAGTGTGGCCTTAATATTTGTTTCTTGTCCCATTTTATCTAAGCAATTAACAGTAGATTTTGACGTGTAGCTGCTTCTTTGTCTTGATGCAATTCTATTGATTGATGGCACTGTGAGTAGAGAAGGTTTTTTTATATTTGGGAAAATAGGGTATCAAATACGTTCCTGATAATATGTACTTAACATTTTTCTCAATTCTCTTTCAAATTGCCATCATATGAAAAAACAGCAACCATTATAAATCCGTTTGAAGAACTTTAGATTTTTTGAACTGTCTTTTAAGATTTTGTACTCCTCTCTGATGGTAATTAATGAATCTCTTTTTTATTGGAGTTATTTAAATACACCCAAGATTCGTCTGTTGTGACAATGTTTTTCCATTTTTGTCCGGATAAATGTGTCTCATAAAGAACTCTACGTTTGGCGATATGTAGTGCAGAAAGACCGTGCACATTATGGTTTTTCACCTTTTTAAGATTCAAATCAGCAGTAATCATTGTTTACAGTTGACACTGAGCATTTTAATGATTTTGCAACAGTCCTTTGATTTGATAGATTTTCTTTTAACATTACAGATCTTAACTTTGCAACATTCAAAGCATTCCTGTTTTTACTTGAATATATATTTAGAACAATATTTCCACTGGAAGCCAATCTTTGACGTTTTTTTCCTTTCTTGTTGACAATATTACCTATCGTAGCTTCAGATATTGAGAAACCATGGCCTTGTTAGTGTTTTTTCATAACTAAGATATGAATAATGTTCTTTAGAAAGAGGATAGACGCAGCCTTCCACCCCTCTGCTTCTTTAAAATCACCATTTTTCATGAACACAAAACTGTCAGGTAGCAAGCGATTCTTCTTGAAGCTTGGCTTCCCTTTGGCGCCTTATGCTCCAACTCAAATACACTGGTTATCATAAATTAAGGAAAAATCACAAAAACAGTGATAACTCCCTCAAAATTAAGCCAAACCGTGTGTTGGCGCCATCTGTGGAAAATATGTAACATTTATGTTCTAAAACGATGACGCTGATGTTTTTTATAGCGCCATCTTGCGGCCACTTGTATTGAGTGTGTTCTGAGACGCCGCCGAAAGATGTGAACTGACTGTGCGTCTTCTTGAGTAATTAATAAATTTTAGTATATGGTCCATTTTTTGGGTTTTGTGTAAAGTGATTTATTTAATTATGAGTTTTACTGAGCTACTGACGGGCCCATTGTTGGTCCTTACCATTCCGGAGCTCGAATTGTGTGTCAAAGTTATGGAAGAAAACTTGTGGATTACTCTTAAATAGAAGGTAGTTCGTGGCCTTAATTGTAATAACTGTGTAATTGAAAAAGTAGATTCCAAATGTTTAAAAGGGAAAAAAAGAAGATTATCAGCGTATTGCTGTAGAACTGAATTTAGACATTTCAGAAGCGAAAACTATATCAGATTTAACTGATATAATAAAAAACGGTGAAAGCTATAAGAAGGATCCTTATTAGAGTTGAAGGTATAGCTAATAATATTATCGACGAAAGGAAAAGTGACGAGAGCCGATTGAAAAATTGAAAACGGAACGAGCGAAATCGGAACTAGAACTCGCGAAGTTGCGAGCAGAATCAAAAAGTGAAAACCTCATAGAAAATGAGAAAAGAGAAAATGTAGAATCTTCTGACTCTCTTATTAAAAGTATACGCACATTAACAACTAAAATTCCAATTAGACCGAAAGGTTGGGATTATTTCTTTTCATCGTTAGAAAGGGCGTTCATTTCAAAAAGTGTTCCAGAGAAATTTAAATCCGAAATTCTTCTAAATTTGTTGGGAGATAAAGCCACAAATGTTATTACATACATTAAAGACGACGAATAGGAGATTATTCGAAGGTTAAAGAAATAGTGCTAAGAGAATTCGAACCATTCCCCAAATTTGTTTAGAAAATTTTAAGAAGACACAACGAATGAAACTTGTGCAGTTCGCGTCTAGATTAAGCACGAGTTGGGATTATTGTTTGAAACTGAGAAAGGTAAATGACTTTGAAACATTAAAACAATTAATAGTTTCTGATAAAATATGTCAAACACTTAATAAAGACGTTATGTGTTTTATAAATGTAAGGCAAGGAAATTCTTGATTTAAACCTGTAGAATAGGTGAAGGAGATATATTTATATTATATATCAAAGGGAAAACCTGTAGTGGATAATTCTAGGTTAAGTAATAAAAATAGTTATTCTAAAAATATGTGAAAGTTTTTTTTTCTAACTGAT